ATAGAAACAGTTAATTATATATGTGAACAAGTGGACAAGCAGTCGATAAACATTGGAATCCATACTGAATCCTAAAAGAATTGATATTAAGATTTACCACGAATGTAAACTTCAAATTTGACGGCACGCTTTACAGTCAAGTGGACGGGGTGGCAATGGGCTCCCCATTGCGTCCAGTTCTGGCTGATTTCTTTCTAAGTAAGCTAGAAAATAGACCTCTGAACAACCTTATCGGCAAGCTCTCATTTTATTGCCGATATATGGATGATACCTTTATTCTTTGTGATAATGTTTCCGATAGGAGTACAATAATTACTAAATTCAATGAAGTACATTCGGCTATGAAATTCACGTGCGAAGAGGAATCTAAAAACAGAATTACCTTCCTGGATGTCCTCCTTACAAGAAAACCACATGGTAGCATAAAAAGAAATTTGCATACAATAGTACCTGGACAAGACAATATACACATTTTCACAGCTTCGTTCCACTCAAATACAAAAGAAATTCAGTAAAGACCCTCAGCCACAGAGTTAGAGCTATATGCTCAGAAGAAGTAATTAAAGATGAATTAAGCATGGTAAATGATACTTTAATCGAAAATGGTTATCCTGACAAATTTATCAAGAAACATATGACAAAGAAAGTCGAAAAGGACTACCCACTATCTGTAAACAAGAAGCCACTTTATATACGACTACAATTCATGGGCGATATACCAAGTGAAATAATTACGAAGAAATTAAGAAAATCAGTTCAAAGAACTTTTAATGCTGGCGAACTACAAGTATTATTCTCTACACGACCGATGGTGCTACCTCGATGAAGTACCTAGACTAGCCACTTCAAATTGTATTTATCAATTCAACTGCGCTTGTTGAGCGAGTTATGTTGGCCGTTGCTCTAGGAACTTGATTTTTCGTGCTCGATCGAGAACATCTCCCACTATGGCTAAGTTAAAACTATTAACAGCTCGATATTAGACCATCTGGTGCAAACCGGTCACAAAGCCAGCGTAGAATCCTTCTCTATAATATACCGGGTGCCTAACAAACTGCCAAAATCGTCGAAGCACCGCATGCTCCAAACAGCAGAGACTATTGCAATTCGCCTCAAACAACCAGTGCTCTGTGTCCAAAAGAAACAAGTCCAGCCCTTACTAATGCCCTGGTCCTCAGTAGAAACTATAAACTCATGAATTTGTACTATTATCTTTCCTAATTCTTCTGACATTCAGCGTATTTTATGCTGATGCTGTTCAGCTGTAATCTATCAATATTATTGATTTGATGTTATTTAAACATTAATGTCGTTCATAAGACTAATTCATTCATTCATTATAATGTATATATAATTGTAGAACCTGATGATGAATTTATCGAAAAGAGTACTCTTTGTTCCATGTCTATTCTTTTGAAAGTTTTAATGGGCATTTTTAATCAGTTAAACAATATTACTCGACATTACTCATCACCTGGATTCGTTTGCAGCTGTGGTGTGTAATGATATCCTTACTGAGGCCTAAACCAAAGACTCAACATTTCAGATGACTCAGAGTTATCACCTAGTCATACATTAAGTTTCAGTCTTCTTGTTAACTTATGCAGAAGTTTAATTAGAAAGTAGGATCAGCAAATTAGATGTCAAACAGCTGGACACTTAAGCGTTGGGTAAGAAGTATCAAGTTTACTCTATTTTTCAAGGTTTACTCTATACAGTGGTATTATCTATCCTCCAGGAATAAACAATTCTTCTGTTTATCACTTACTGAACATTGATAGTGCATTCGGTATTAAAAAGCAGTTTTAACATATAATAGAAAACATTTATTCCAAACTACTTAAACCTAGTTGTATCACTTACAATCATACAACTTTCATTACGATTTATCTGTTATGTCTGAAGTTTATAATGTTCATCTTATTCATATTCTTCATTAATACTGTCCAGCTAACCTGCGATCTATTTTTGACATCAAAATAACAAACAACACTTTCATAAACAGTTAGCAATCAGCCACATTTGATGCGTGAGTAACGGCTAGTGTTTTGGGTAACTTACTACCCTAAATTTGGTAAGTGCAGGAGAGTTCAAACCTGTAGCTAAGGTAGTTACAATTCAGTCACCTACATCAATGAACCCCAGCCTCATGGTGATATTACTAAACTTCACACAATACGTGATCCATTGCTCAGTGTATTGTCCGTCATTATTAATGAAGTCGTCTGATCATGTCACAATATTATGTTCTCGAGATGCATTACAATTACTGAAAGAGTGGATTTAAAATTTGTCCCATAACTTGAAATGAACGAAACAGATCACTAAATGACTTTGCAAACACAGAATACACCATATACGTCAGAATGTTTTGTAATTTCACGGGAACATTCGGCCGGTCAACTGCACCAGACATCATTTCTGAACTTGACAGAGAAGTTACACCTTTATTCATAGCAGCAAACTTAACCCTTCAGTTCTATATCAGCGTTGCAACTGAATTATTATAACTCTCGCCGACCATGCACATGGTCCGGGGTTCAATCCCCTGCCGACGCACATCCGATATCTATGGTCGGCCTGCAAAATTTGGGCTACCTATATCCATGCTGAAAATTCCATACTTGTACTGAAAATACGGTGTGGAATCAAGCTGTAAATCAAAATAAAAAATAAAAATAAAAAAAATAAAACATTTAAACTAAAGTCTCTTGGTCAAAATCTTGTCGCATCTCCTGTTCCCAGACGTCGACCAATTAGATTAAAATAAACATAAAGAAAGAAAGATGTTTCATTGCTATAAGTTTAAAACTTGTGTTCGAAACGTCATCAATTAATATTACTGTATAACACTGTATGATTTATAAAATAAAGTATTATCTATGATGAAAAAGATATTTTCGCTAAATTCAGAATTCCTCGTCGTTTATCCTTTGTGTCAGGCTATCTAATCTTCAGTTTCGTGTCACTGAAGGCGGCACTGATGAAATTCTGCCTTCAAAGATGCACTTGCTAAATTTCTGAATCATAAGCATGTACTGACTGCCAACTCATTAGTGTTGAACACATTCGAATCTTGCATTTGTAATTAGCTGAGACAAAACAGACATACTCAAATAACTTGAGATAATGTCATGTATTAATAACACATAAATCATGCATTCCTAGTGTAACAGCAGAAGGCAAGACTATATATATATATATATAGCTTATATTTTTTAACCAATCATTAAGCATGTGATTTTAGTTTAATTAAAACGACATGAAATAGAATGTTCAAATATATGTATTAATCTATTGCCCTATGTTCAACCAGGAACCCAAGGGAATAATAATAAATACTATAATAATTATGTTACTAAGGCAGTGTTGAACTGTGGAATTATGTGAGAATGATGTTCCGTTGGAACACATTGTCTGTATCCCAAGACCACACTAGTGCAACTCCAACCTGAGCAATAATATTATAGAAATACTTAGTTTCGTCATCGAACAAAGCACACAATGGCAGTCAAACCTCTACCTCAACTTCATTCATCGACTTCCTAAAGGCCTTCACCAGATAGTCTTGACCGACAAGTAATTTAGAAACTACTTCAAACTACAGCGGGCAGTGCTCAAGTCTTTATTCACCTCATTCAACAGCTCGCTATATGACAATGCCACGTGTCAGGCGATCAACAACGAAAATCTCAGCTAGCTAGTCATTCGAAGTGCATACAGGAGTAAGACAAAGCTGGCTGTCTATTATCACTGATGATATTCTTAATTGTGGTGGACTCGATTATGCATCAGACTGTGCATTGAGAGTGAGAAGACAGGAATACGCTGCACTGACTGATAAGAAGACTCTAGAAGATCTGAATTCCGCACGTGGATGACTAATGTTTCATGTCACACAAATTCGAAGACTTACAGTTCAAATGCAACAAACTGGCTGAAGAAGCAGGCAGAAAAGACAACACTCCAGGTGAACATAGAGAAGATGGAGGTGATGAATATAGCCAACGAAAAGCAACAACAACAAGCACCAATCACCATCAATGAGAGAGATTTAACAAGGGTAACCTCCTTCACTTATCCGGTTGGGAAGCATCGTTCCAATTACAGGAATTCGGAACGGATGAAGATATCAAAGCTAACCAGTCAGAGTCGGAAAGGCAAGATACGCCTTCATCAACCTGAAACCAGTTTGGAAATCTTCTGCACAGTGCTCAGCATAAAGAACAAGATTCGGATTTTCAACACCAATCTCAAGTCAGCCAGTTCTTCTATATGGGTCAGAAACTTGGTGTGTCACGAAAAGCATTTCCAACAATTTGCAGGTTTTTGTCAACAGCTGCCAACTTCTCTGGCTCCATACTGAGGATCAAATGATAGCTGACTGGCCAGAAAGAATTAGTAACAAGAAACTCTGGCTAGCTGGGAACAAACCAGCCAAGAGCCGATCGCTCAACAAATGTTTAGGAGACAATGGAGATGGATCGATCGAGCATACATTGAGGCGTTTGTTGAATGACAGCACGCAATGCAGGCCGTTGCTCGAGCGTGATCTCAATGGGGAGCGATGCTTGAGTGGTATATGAGAGGGTGACACTGAAGAGGTCGTGTGAGGAGGAGGAGATGGGGAATTATGGGCAATTGTGGAGCTAGTCAGTTGAAGAGGACGGTAGATAATAGAAGGAAGTGGAGATGTGTTGTTGAAGCCCTATGTTTCACTCGGAACTCAAGGGAATAATGATAATGAAATACAATGCATATTTCCGATGATTTTTTTAGTTGTAACATCCGACATTCTGAAGAAAATGCTACTGAGGTCCTTATCAGCAGCGTAATTGGAATTAAAATAAAGTCGGTTAATTTCTTTTGATTGGTTGAAAGTAACTTATGTCTTTTAATCTTTTTGTTCTATTTCCCCTACTTATTTCTACTCTTCTCGTTTCGTGATCCAGTATTGGCACGAAGTGTTTGTTCTACTCACCTATAGTAAAAGTAGAGCAATGGCTTACAGAAATGCTGCAGTCAAAGAGAAAGCTGTCATTCGAAATTACGATGGCATGAATATTGGTTATACAGAAGAAGTAAGTGATAATAAAAGTTCATCCTTTGTAAAAATAAAACAGTTTATTTAATACCGAGACACACTAGATACACTGAAAAGTATCTTAGTTTGTTTTTTCTCAGAAGTGGACACAGAACCAGTTGTTGGGTAGAACTGAATAAGTACTATCAAGGCGATGCCTACATACCTATATTTCTGGCATTTTCTACTCTTGTGTTTCATGTATGCCTGCAAATGACTTCAATGCCATTCTTGAAAGAACAACAGTTGGTTGGAGACTTCTTGACTGTACCAGGAAGTCGAAAACTTGCGGGATTATGTAAAGCCATCTGCAGCAGGATTAATTATTTCTAATCATTCTTGTATCATTCTCTGAGTTCGTTTTATCTTTGGTATTCGGCTGTCACTTCCCACAGAGTCTTTGTAGGATTTTGCCTAATATATGATGGAATGTGTGTTCAAATTTCGTAATTATCTAGAAAAAATAAACCACAGGTGAAAATTAAGCAGTGAAATTGTCTTTACAAATTAGGCTTCTTAAGTAATATAAAACATTTCTTAAGGTCACTGAGTAATGATTCATTGTGTCCAAGAAACTGAACTGTTTTTATCAAAATCAGTATCATATGTACCATTTTGAAGAAACAAAATTTACGTATTCAGTATATTCACTAGATCCAAGTTCGAGGATCATAACACAAACTTTTGCTGCACCGTCCGGCTCTGCAGGTATAACTTCATCTCAAACAATTTAGCCACCGTCCAAAGATCACAGTTCATCGACATTCATCAATAACCATATAAAAATAATAATTGATACTTCTCTGAAAGCAAAGTTGCCAAAGAAGTAATTAGTTGTAAATCTGAAATTCCAAGAAGCAGAATACTAACAGCAGTTGAAAAAATATACTAATCACTGTATCCCTGATGTTTAACAAATTCACGCCTTTTATTCACCAAAATGTCCAAGAAAGTGTTCTAATGTTAGTAATATCCATGAGGATCTATAAGTTTACTTGCTGCTGTGCAGCCAAGTACATAGAACATGCCATTAGGATAGTGTCTAGAAGTGTACAAGAGCATCTTACAATAGGATTGTCAACAGGAGTAATTTGACCACTCACCACCTTATTCCTTGAAAGCGTTGGGATCACGCATCATTGTGCTTGAATGGAGGCCTGAGTCAAACGATCAACCCGATGACGAGTGATAATGGTTGATATGAGGACTTTCCAACTACTCATATCCATCAATTAGTTATTTATGCCATCATGAAAAATCATAATTTTGTAATATTCGCGTAAATTTGTCCATTAGATTTTCTCAACTTTTATTTTATCTTCCTCACATAATTGTCTTTTAATTTATACTTCCTCTCAAAAGATACGATTCATAGACGGCAGTTGGGATGAAAGAACTTGTTTAGGTGTAATGAAATTTAATGATCCAGAGGGTGCAAGACATTGGCTACAAAGCGATCATCCATTTCGACAACCTGATTTTCTTGATCAAGTTGATATTTTAATTGTTCCGCTTCAAAAGAGTGACATGTCTCATAAAGGTTTGTGTTCATTAAGACATATCGTTACGTTTTCATAAAATTGAAAGTGTAGAAATAATAAAATACGACTTTTATATATCCTTTAAAAATCTGCTAAAGGATTATTGATACTGCTTAAATGTCCAATTAGTAGGAAGCCTGTTTCAACCAGGTTTCCTGCTTATTGGCACTCGTGAGCGAAACTTAGCTGCAGCCTCTGTGGTACGAGCCCACATCACCTGGTGATACAGTCAGAGATCTTAGTGTTGAGCTGTTCAAAACTACAATTGAATTTCAATAGGAATATATTTTATATGTCCAAACCAAGTTCACTTTTAACAGTTTGAAAAAACTTGGAAATATATTAGTTATATCACTTAGCTCCCAGGGAGTAATAGGCGTCTGGTTTTAGCAGAATCTGCGGGAGGGCATCAATCGCCTCGACTTGGCAGGTACACCATACCGATCGGTGTCACTCAGCACTAAACCCTGTTGCAGCGTATATTTTCTGTTTATCTATAACCACCCAACATTGATTTGAAAACTGCTGCGATTGTAAGTCTCCTGGTTTAGCGAAAATATTGCAAACTGGTACTACAAGATACTGACTACACCTCAGTGGCCGGTCATTTTAAACTGAGAGTTTGAACTATTTTCATGAGAAATGGCACTACGAGACATTGTAAAATTTGCGAATGTGTTAATTCTCAAAGGTGTATATACATGTTAAACTTAGTTTGCAAATTAAGTGTTGGAGATTATCTGTTAGTATTCCGAAGCCAAACCATCACTTCATCTATGGTACTAACAACACATCCAACTACCAGCCAAAAATTAAGCGTATCTCACAATAGGCCTAATGTGAAAACACTAGGAAACCCTTGGTGTTTCTAACTCCTGCATGTGTCTTATACATTCGGTAGACATTTGCAGTATAAAATGATATCATTCTATTTCACAGGTTCTCATCAAGTGCAAATTCAATGTTTGAAAGGTATTAGGGAAAACATTGTAAGATGAACGCGTCCGTAATATAAGTATTACAATTTGTCTCATGTTTTCTCTATTACCTTTCAAACATTGAATTTGCAGCTGATGAGATCCTCCATTTGTCTTCAACAATTATTGAAGCATAATTCTCTTAATTAGGTTAATGTGTATAAGTTGATTTGCATTTCCCTTTGACAAATTTGTACTGGTCCATTTTGGCATGTTGACGGAGGCTTCGAACACCTTCAAAAGCTAATATAATGTTATTTGTTTGATATTGGGTACTGGTAGAAACAAAGAAGCCCATTGCCATTGATGATCCTGACAAAATGATATGTCGAAAAAGGCTCAAAAGGTTTATTCAATGCAGTGAGTCAATAGGAAATACAAAATAATTCATACGCTTTGCTCAAGAGGTCGATCTCCCGAATGTATGACATAATAGACAGTAATCTGGCGTTTGATACAATCGATTCTGGATGCGTGTCAGAGTAAAAAAACACCACCAATCACTGAGTTAACATCACTCTTTTTAGGTACTTCAAGAAAATAAAGTCGGATATTGTCATTTTATTATCCTCGTGCACTTCATATTCTAACTGTTCTTTTGTGATGAATTAATGGGCTGTTTATTACGAGAGCTTTCTCGAAATATCTGTTTTCATTTCAATGATCAAGGTTATCCAATTATTGAACTAATGAATTTACGTATAAAGATGAAGGAAGTCTTTGAAAGTAAATATTTAAGTGAAATGAAATGCTTGATAAAAGAATGTGGTGGTTGCCCGTTAATTGTTCAACACGATGATGTATGGAAATGGAGAGGTAGCAAAAATCCCGGAAGTATTATTATCAACCAATGGCCTGATTGGGAATCGTATCATAAATTCTCAACAAAAGGTAATTACACCATTAATTTTGTGTCATAGATTCATACTGTAATAAGTAGGCAAACAATTTCAATGAAATTTTTTTACAGTCAAAGCTTGAGCAAGATTTGTAGAATAAATACCAACTTTCATAAGACACCAGGTAGTAATTAATGTCATGTGTCTAGTCCTTCGTTTGGGACAGACTGAATTCTATCAATCAAGTTTGCAATGTAGCCACCGTGTTTGTTGGTTCACCATAACGTGGCAATCTGAACTGTTGTTAGATGGTTGGAGGCTATCAGCAAGAAGCTTCGAACTTACGTTTCGTGCTTGTTGGCACTTGTCAGCAAGACCCATCTGTAATCTTCACGGAACTCAAGTCCCTTCAGCCTATTACCTCCAACTATCTAATAACATTATGCACTTATTCCCCTTCATGAATTTGGAAAAAGCAAGAACAACAGTGGTTTGTGCAGAACTTATTTAAAACGTTCATGTGATTGACAATTTTTTGAAATGAAATAAGTCTGTTATGGTGTAAACGGCTAGCTGTCGACGAATGGGTTCCAACTTCTTCGCAAGCCAACCGGTAACCTTACGTTGGGGAGAGTTGATCATCGAAATTATAGGTCTCAGGGGGACTTCGTAAAACCCACAAGTGAACGTAAAGGAATTTCTGGTTTGTTTAATTTTGGTGATCCATAAAATCTGCAGGGACTTTAACCTTTTGGAGCCAGAGTCAACCAAAGTAATACACCAAGTTTCTCTTTGATTGACTGTGATATTTTGCCTGTTTCAACCTTCAGTTTACTCAATGTCGCCCTTGACTTTGTCATGTTGGATTTTTCATAGGGTGCAACATCAAGGTGATCAATAGCCTTCTTTTCATAATCTGCAGAGCTCATAATAACCGTGGTACTCCCTTTATATGCTCTTTCACAATCTATCTTTCTGTAGTTGTTTCAATGCCAGCTGCTCGCTTTTACTCGTGCGGCATTTCATTTCATCTGATTACGTAATCTTTGGCTTCAATCTCACCCCTTTGACATAGTGTAACTTTGCTTGTCTCTTGTTTCTACTGATTTGCTTTGAACTCATTACATTGTTACCTAATTTATAAGTCACTCAACATCGTCTTTATTACGTAACTCCTTTACCATTATATGCATACATTTATTTTGTTTAAACTTGAACTGTCCATGTAAAAACTATATAAGCGCACTTTTCTGAGCACTGTTCACTAATTGCAGAACTTTCTGTCAACTGACATCATGAAAAACTTGCAAGTATGTTAAAACTTTTCTGTACATAAACTTCATAATTTATTTAGCTGTAAGCAGCTGATGAGAAGCCAACGAAATAAATGATGATACTGTAACAACAGAAGACAAGGGCTAGGGAAAATCAACACATATTTATAGATTTTAATGTACATTATTGTAGATTATTGTTAGTAGAAAATACAGTCTTTTGATTGGTTGTTTCTCACAGAAAGTTAACCTTGCATCTCTTTGTGGCTATGTCAGATCATCCATAAGCTAACTGTATCCGCCTACGCAAAGCCTTTGTTCTCATTTTCTCACCACCAGTATCGGGGACATAAACAATGACGTCAATTACTGTCAACCAACTTTGGCTAGCAGCCAGCTCTCACCACAATACTATATTATTCTGCACAAGCCACTGTTGTTCTTGCTTTATTTATTAACAACAATTCTGAGTGCACCACGATGCCGATCCACCATTCATGCAGGCTGCATCGCCAAGATTAGTAGGTCAATAAGCACAGAGATCAAGCTTTACTTCGATTAGCTGAGTCCATTAATATCAGGAAACTCTAATCCGACATGTGTATGGAAAAAGAAACTGTTCCACTCTTATAATAATCTTTTGAATTATTAAATAATTATTTACTCTGTTTTCTGTTACTATTATTATTACTACGGTAATTATTATTACTACCTTCATTATTTTGACTCACTCATCTTAACTCAGCTAATCGACTAAAAATCACTTTTAAATACCTCCTTGCGTTTCATCACGTAATCCGCTTTATTTATGCTGCTGGTTAATCAGTGTTTCCTCTTAAACGAATCCTCTTCCCTACTTGTTATCAATGTCATTTTTAATGATTCTGCCATTATATTTCACTTATGGTGACTACTGTAAACTGCAGTCTTCATGCCTTCGTTCTCCTTAGTAGAGTGAAAAATATATGTTCTTATTTCATTACACGACTGTATTCTTCAGGCTGCCAAAAGAAAAAGGGTAATCAAACTGGCAAATTCAACCTTTCAGTTATGCGTGGTTTCAACTGTTTTTGTCCATGAATTTAGAATATTACATGAATCAGTAATCTTATCGTTATTTAAGACATTTCTCGTATGATCTGAACTATTAAATTTAACATAAAATCGGGAATAAATAACTTCTGAATACATTAATATTCGTCTTCCTGGATATACTTGACAAAAAACACTCATATAAGAATAAAGTCTTGTTGGACATAAAATACGGTGATACAGTTTCATTCATTGATTGGTGAAGGAAATAATACAGTTGTGAGAACCTCCAATTTAGTTGTTTGTTGGTAGCTAGTCTCAGATTCAAGGACGCGCGTTCTATCCTATTTGAAATTCATCATCTGAATCTACCTTTTCCCGAATGAGTTAAAGGGGTCCCCACTGAAATTAAAACTCAGCAGTTATCATCTGTAAAGAACAAAGTGTTATTTGTCAGGCTACTGGACAGTGAGAGAAAGACATCTCTTGTACAAAAAATGCCAGTTTACCACCAATACAATATTCGGTTAACTTTGTAGGCTTAATCACGGTATCCAATACAGTGGGCTAACAAGTCATCATAGACAACATTTCGAAGAATTATTCACATTACTTTAATTCTCTTTCCTACTTACAATCACTGGGATATCTTACAGGAAACCAACACATTCAAACGGATATTTGGACTTCCGATCATCCCATCCTATGTCAGTGAAAATAGGGTTGGCAAAATGCTTAAGTAATAGAGCACAAAAACTAAATAGTATCAAGGAAAATCTAAGACAGGAAGTGATATGCATAAGAGAAGCCTTGAAACTTAATAATTACCCCGATAAATTAATCAGGAAATATGTAGGGAAATGTAAAAATAAAATAAATAATGATAGTAGTGATAGTGATAATAATAATGATAATATTAATGACGACATGCATGTCAAACATGCGCAAGACAGTACCAACAATAAGGAATCTAAATCATCAGTAGTAATTCCACACAAAGAAGGGACCTCGGAGACCACCTTACGCAGAATTCTTAACAAGGCAGGCAGGAATAAAAGTGGCTGGCAGTCAAACCAACCACAAACTCAAATGGAAACAAGCTTTTGAAATAATAGAGAAGATTTGTAGCTCAGGTGGAACAAGCTTTATCGGTTAAAGGATCCTGTGGAGCCTTTAAAACAAAACAATTTAGTTTATCTAATACCTAGCTGGAATGATTGTCAGGTCAATTACATAGTTCAAACTAGTAGAACGGGGCAGTCAGACTAGCCGAACATAAAGACCTAGCAAAATCTAGATTGGTTGACCCGAATAAGATAAGAAATCTAGAGAATAGTTCAGCTATAGCACTACACACTACATGCAGTTACACGCAGCCACTGTGCGTCGGTGGCACAGTGGTTAGAACTCTCGTCAACCATGCACATTGTTCGGGGTTCGATCCCCTGCCGACGCACACCTGATATCTATGGTCGGCCTGCAAAATTTGGGCTACCTATATCCATGCTGAAAATTCCATACTTGTACTAAAAATGCGGTGTGGCATCAAGCTGTAATCAAAAATCAAAAATCAAAATTAAGATGAAAGTTTTAAAATGTAATGTAACAGCAGGGTGGAGGGAGAGATTGATAACGGAAGCTTTATTTATTGAATCAACTGAGACAGAATACGTGTAATAGGAATGATTCAACACCTGTCTCAGATATCTGGAAAATTCTACTACCCCAACGACGACAAATAGGAGAGAACAAAGAAAACTATAAAAGTCAAGTTTCGAAGTCGTGTAATTATAACTGATATTCATGACTTTAAGCCAGACCTTTGTGTACAGAAGAGGGATGTATAATCCCTACTTCTGCCTTGGCCGTAGAGGGATAGAGATTTATTTATTTATTCTGTGTACCTTTCTCTTATTACTAGGATTATTATTATTATTACTATTCTCACTCTAAACTGTTTCCGCTTTTCCCACTTATCATTCTAAATCCGAAATTATTATTTTTTTGTTTTTACAATATTGAATTCTATCTTATCAAATTCCACACCATATTATGTAACCTTTTATATTTGCCTACTAATCTTACAATTATGTACCCCTTTCCAAAATCTATACACCTTATGTATTATTCTATATCTAATATACAAACTAATATGGAATTCACGAAAAATACCCATTTATTCATAAGTAAAAACACAGTTTTTTGTTCAGCGAAGAAATTTCCTTTCAATGACTTCATTTTCAAGCTGTACAGTCGTATTTATATTACAGAAAAGGTTATTAAGTGGCACTAAATAATTGCTCAGTCAATATACATATATGTGATAAGAATAACGCTAATTAAAATGTAATAAGGGGCAGAGTTGAAGTGGATAAATTACAAAATTATTGAAGATTGTTTTATAAGTGAATTGAAATCAAAAATGTTTTAAGAATGTCAAGTGTTGTATAAAAATTTTTAAAAAATTAGGAGTACGATTACGATAAGAATGAAGATGTGAAGTGAAGTGAAAAGAATTCAAGTGGTAAAAATAAAATAAAGTAAAAACTAGAAAGAACATTACTATGACCAAGGTAAAGAAAGGGGTTTGACAAAATATGGAATTGTTTTTACGAGTTGATCACGGATTGATATCATTTAGAGAACTATTGAAAACCAGGGAGTACTGGACAGCTGTTTCATCCTAGTTTGGGAATCATCGGCAGTACGCACCCACTGGGGTTCGAACGTAGGACCTTCCGGTTACAAGACAAGCTCGTATACCACTCAGCCACTGGGACCCAATTCAATGGCTCACGAATTCCAACTTCTACCAATTCGTGATTTAGCGCGACCCCAACCAACGTTGTAGGTGGGACATCCATCCTCACACGTGACATCTGGATGGACCTCACTGGTCACGACTTCTCACTAGAACTCCAGGAAGCTCCAACCTGTATCAAGTCACTAGCGAGTATCAGATTAATCTAGTTAGAAGTCGTGACCAGTGAGGTCCATGCAGATGTCACGTGTGAGGATGGATGTCCCACCTACAACGTCGGTTGGAGTCGCGCTAAATCACGAATTGGTAGAAGTTGGAATTCATGAGCCATTGAATTGGGTCCCAGTGGCTGAGTGGTATACGAGCTTGTCTTGTAACTGGAAGGTCCTACGTTCGAACCCCAGTGGGTGCGTACTGCCGATGATTCCCAAACTAGGATGAAACAGCTGTCCAGTACTCCCTGGTTTTCAATAGTTCTCTAAATGATATCAATCCGTGATCAACTCGTAAAAACAGAACTAATCCTTACAAAAAACCAACTGTAATATGGAATTACTTACTACCACAGCGCCCAAGTTTTACTCATGTATTAATATCTTACTTCACATTGCAGTATATTTTTACAACTAAAACCCTTTTTTATTGAATGACACAGTGAATTTCTTTCCTCCATTTTCATGTATTTTTTGTTTTAAATCCCTAATTAGATGAAACAAAGAAACTTGAAGAATTAAGAAAAACAATCAGTTCAGGATATAAAATTGTTGCTGAATTGATCATTGATATGTGAAAAAACATGCTGATGTTTTAATTTTTTTAGATGCAAAAATAGTGATAACTAAAACAGCCGACAAACGTTTCACGCAAATTCCTTTTATTTCATTATTATTTTCTCCAATTTCTTTTCTCTTCAATAAACATTAATGATAACTTTATAAACAAGCAGTTCGCTGACAAATATAAAAATACATTTTATTTCCGCATATATCAATATTATTGTTTTAAATGTCTTTCGAAACTTATAGCATCTTCTTTCTCTGCAAATGATCCATGTCACCCTTAAACTTACACCTAAGCCACCACTTTCCAGTTGTGTTCCTGAAGGTTGATATCTACTGAATATGTCTTCAGGGAATGTCCAATCTATTCAATGACTTTTCTTCTTATATATTTGTTAGTTGAACAGCTGGTGAGTTGGCTAGTTTGTCGCCTTCCAGACTTTCCTGTCTTTTCTTCATCCTCTCTGGCTAGCCATGCAGTCAGTTATTTTTATTTTACTGTCAACACAGTGAATTCAGCTGTTGACAAAAGTCTGCAGTAGCCTATAAGAAATTCTTTTGGCTACACACCTAAGAGGTCTTCTGAACTATAATGGAAGCCCTGACTAATTTTATATTAGTATTTAGAATTCGAATCTTGTTCCGTGTGGTATTTTGGATTTGTACACTGGTTTCAAAGTATAAAAAGTCCCTTTCTCGCCTTTGGAATCGTAACTAACTGTGATATCTTCACACGTGCCACCAGTAGCTGAACTATTGGGGATGACTAAGTAGTTTTAAATTTAGAAGTGATTGTGAAAACAGTCTGCACTAATAAAAAGCAGTGCGCCAGTTAATTGATCTTCGATGAAACAATATGATACGTCTTCTATGAATTCAGTGTATATCAGCAACTTGAAGTATGCACTCAATTGACGAACAGATGTTGTTTTGAACCAATGAAACTCTATTCCATGAGAATCAGCTTTTCAATTGGTTACCGAATATTTATAAAACACAAAATAATTGAGCAAATAATATCCTTTTCGACAATTTCCTCCTCTTCTGGCTCTACAATTATATATATAGGTTTATATACATAGAATATTCTTGAATGGTAGTCAATAACAATATTGGTGTTTTGTAAATAATATCGATTTGTAGATTAAGATCACAATGGAATCACAGTTCATTAAAGATGCTTAAATTACAAAATCAATAAAGATATAAAAAGCAAATAGACTATCAACTAAAATTAGGGAAATTTCCACAAAAATTGAGGAACATTCAAACCTAGATGACCAAGGTAAAGATAATGTGTGAACTAGCTTCCTTTGGACGCATAAATTAGGCTTCTCAATGTGGATCCCAACAGCCTCAGCAATATTTATAATCGAACTCTTAAGGCGAAGTTAAGATTTGTTGGTATGCGGTAAATGACTCTGAAGTCCTGGTTAACATCAATCTTGTGTTCTGTATCCACAAGATTAGATAGAACAGCGCTATGAATGGATTTTGTTTGTCCTTTACTTAACCACGCAGGGTGATGTCCGGAAACCCGACGAGAAGCATGCCTAATTGTGCGGCCCATGCAACTAACTGGCTCCACAGGAGCAGTTAAATTGGTAATAATACTGCTGTTTTTTTGAACTTTTTAGTAATTTTATGTGAGGTTCCATAGGTTTTCTGCTTGTATTGTATATTTTAAACTCTCTTATTTTCTGTTCATTTGAATATATATATATAAAATATATTTTTACAATTTTTACAATTCCTAATCAATTTATCAGGGTAATAATTAGGTATCAAAGCTTCTTTTACGTCTTAATCCATATCGTATATCTTCTTCCTTACTATTTAGTCTTTTTGCCCTGTCAATTAAAGATTCCACCATTTCTATTTTTTATGAATATCAGGTAGGATGAATGGAAATCAAAATATCAATATGAATGTACGCGGTTTCTGGAAATACAAGTGATTAAATTCCTATCTTATTTCTTTCTTATGTTTTCAATCTATCTACCACTGGAAGCCCTTCTAAATGACTTTCTACCATTGAGTTGATGCATTTAAAAAGAAAGCGATTCATATTCAAATGGACTGTCGTCAAGATTTGACAGAATAGTTCTAAAATATTTGGGCGCCGAGTGAGAAGTAGACATTTGTAGAAAATTATATTTGTAAAATCTCAGCGATATTGATTTAAGTAATTCCAACGTTTCGTTCGGCAATCTGGTCCGAACTTCTTCAGGGAAATTAATCAAAATTAACATAACAGAGGTAGATAGGTTTATATATATAAAAGGAACATCACTTGTTTTTAAAAACTCTGTCCAATCATGAGTCATTCAACAAGTATTAACAAGTATTATCAACAAAATTGTATGAGCTGTGATCAAAATTTGACCTCGGACTTACAAATATTGGTCTACCTTTGTCTGGAACAAAATGCACATCCTAAATCTGTAGCTGTCGAGTCACCTGATAATTCCAGTAGGTCGAATAAAGCAGCTCAATATTCAGAAAGAAGACAATGCAATAAGTTCGACAGGGTGCTTAAACTAAACTCTAATCCTAAACACCATAATTTTGAAAATACGTCTAATCATAAAATTCTAGATACTAGCAGTTTGAACAGACATGAAGGTTTGATGTTAGCTGATGCATAGGAAATCCTGATTAATAAATAATAATGGATATGTATCACTAGTTACTAGTACTTGGTCAAATTCCTGACTGTCTATATCTTCCTATGGAGACGTTAAGAAATGTTTTACAACTGTTTACCCACACACGCATGCACACTCCGTTTAAAATGTTTAACAAAGGTAGACCAATATTTGTAAGTCCGAGGTCAAATTTTGATCACAGCTCATACAGTTTTGTTGATTATACTTGTTAATACTTATTGAATGACTCATGATTGGACAGAGTTTTTAAAAACAAGTGATGTTCCTTTTATATATATAAACCTATCTACCTCTGTTATGTTAATTTTGATTAATTTCCCTGAAGAAGTTCGGACCAGATTGCCGAACGAAACGTTGGAATTACTTAAATCAATATCGCTGAGATTTTACAAATATAATTTTTTGCAAAAGTTATTCATATCTTGTATTTTAACACTGTTAGTGTATCATCTGTAAGCATTTAGAAGTCAGAGGTGATGAAAATAACTAATCAACAACAACAACCAACACCAACCACTATCAACAGAATAATTTTAAAAGAGATCACTTCCTTCAACTATCTAGGTAGTATCGTTTCAACCACAAGCGCAACCGATGAGATTGTCAAAACCACAATAGGAAAGAAAAGACAGATTATTTATTTTTTATTATTTTTTTAATTTTTGATTACAGCTTGATGCCACACCGTATGTTCAGCACAAGTATGGAATTTTCAGCATGGATATAGGTAGCCCGAATTTTGCAGGCCGACCATAGATATCAGGTGTGCGTCGGCAGGGGATCGAACCCCGGACCATGTGCATGGTGGGCGAGAGTCCTAACCACTGTGCCACCATCGCTCTAAAATCAGTTTGGAAATCTTCTGCACTCTGTAGCATAAACAACAAGATTCGGATTTTCGACCCCAATCTTGAAGCAGTTCTTCAATGCGGGTGAGAAACTTGGCGGGTGCATCATGAAAAGCATCGCCAAAAGTTTATTGTAGACTTTTATCAACAGCTGCCTTCGCTGGCTCCATGTTGAAGATCACATTGGCAGCTAAAAACTCTGCGACGAACTAATCAAGAACCTGTCGCTCAACAGATATACAGAAGATAATGAAGATGGGTCGAACAGATTTTGAGAAGATTGTTGAGTGACATTGCGCGCCAACTGCTCGAGTGTATCCCGAACTGAAAACACTGAAAGGGGTGTCCGAGGGCGATATGGGTGAGATCGTGAAAGGAAAAGATGAGAGACTATGAGTAATAGTGGCGACGGCTAAAGAAAACCACAGACAACAGGACAATACTGAGATGTGCTGCTGAAGCCTTATGTTCCACTCGAAATCCAAGGGAACATTAGTAAGAATAACAATTGAAATACTGAATCGCTAATTTCACACAACACTAAATAAAATCAAACAGTTATTTTGAAAAAAGCATTTTATTCTGCTGTACAAAATAATAAAAACAAAAATATGCTGTAAAATGTAAAAATCCTGTTTTACATCTAAATGACCGAAGAAGTTTCTTTCCCACTTTACCTACTGAGAAAAACAAAACAAGGATCATGTAAAATACTCATATAAATCAGCGAAAAAAAGAAGAAACGATTCGTTTGTTTTTTCTCAATAGAAATACAGTTTCATAGGAAAAGATATGTATGAAAAGACGACAGAAACAGACAGATAGACAAAAAGGAACAGATGGATAAGTCGGCCGGTTATTAATGATTTTGGCTGATCTCAAACTTTTTTATTCTTTTTTTTAATCTACTAATATTTCAAAATCCATTGGATCACCAGGACTACGTACATTGAATAATTCACAGCGTACCATTAGCAGAACATGTCGTTTTGGCCGAGCGAATTGTACAGCAACAAGTGGTGAACGATAGGCTACTTGTACGAGATATGGGAAGTACAAGTGATTGAAGTAACCGCTAAATATATGAAATTTAAGCAAAATAAAGCATAAAGTAGATTTTAAGTGTTTAAAAAAATTAAGTTATAAGTGAAGTGTAATTAAAACTACTCAAAGAAACTGTGGATGCCTTACTAACATAGGTGTGACTGCATGAGATTACTACATTTGAATGAGAACTGATCTCTGTTACACAAGTGGTAATTCTCGTGAAATCAGTAATTTAGCATAAAATGTGTCAGAAGCTGATATACAGACCTAATTTTCTTCATGTCATTTCTACATGTCTGTCTGTATTTCTCTCACCCCACTTAGTGAACTATGACCTTTGAAATCCTACTGATTGTTCACTGTTCAATTTATCAATGAAATTAGTGCCCCCCAAGGTCATTTTAAACATATACATATGCAACCACTGTCGTCTTTTTTGACTGTTGTTTTGAAACAGTAAAAGCACTCTTACCAAGGTCCAGTCTTTTCTTCTATCTTTGAGACCCGGCAGTGTTAGTGTTGTTGTTGACGTGCGGTTAAGCCAGATTTACCAAAGCATTAAGTTAGTATTCGCTCATTGCCTACTAGGTCGTAGTTTCGGTCATAATAAAAGGACAACATTTGGAATTTCAGCTTCAGTTAGAAAAACCACTGCTCATCTGACCACATCGCTTTCTATATTATTTAATGTTATTTAACATAAGATCAGGTTAGAAAGGAGATCAGGGTGACTATCTTAATTATAACTCAAGATTATTAGAGAATTATTTGGTAAAAATAGATATCCAGAAAAATTTACTGATAAAAATATAAATTTACTGCCAAGACAAGCTAGTATGCCAACAGACCCATAGCAGCCTTGAAATTGAAGAACCTTGGTGAAATAAAACAGCATTCAGAGTAGCGCAAACACAGTGTCTCTTTGAATCCACTCCAATTTCTTATTCGGAAAGTAAGGATAAACTACTTAATTTCGCCTCCTGTATGCTTATCATTGAGTTTGACTATTCTTGTGGAGCCAGTAATATTGGGATTAAAAGCAGGCATCTTTACCATCAGATTTCTGAACATCATTCTCTGGGGTTAATCAAGGGACAAACAAGATCTGTTCGTAATTCTGTGATAGCCCAGGTTGTGCATATTGAACACAAAGTTGGTATTAGCAATGGATTTAAAGATATCTATTATAATTTTTTTTTATTATAGCTTGATTCAACACTGTACTTTTGATACAAGTATCAAATTTCCAGCATGTGATATCGGTAGTCCGAATTTTGCAGGCCAACCATTGATATCAGGTGTGCGTCCGTGGGGGATCGAACCCCGGACCATGTGCATGGTCGGTGAGTGTCCTAACCGCTGTGCCACCGACGCGACTAATCTCAATTCCCCTTTACGAGTTCATCTTTTACACATAGCTGAGGATATCGGAATCCACTTGAAGAAGAAGTTCGTACAGACGCTGGCCTCTTCAGTAAAAAAAGAAACGAAAAAAAATGACATGCTTTATGATGCTTAGTAGCATATCCACGACAAATTACATACCACCTAATATGAGAGTGAACCGAAGGCGTAGTGATTAGTGATAATCTTCCTTGGATTCAAATTTATAACGACTGCTGGCTTCAAGTGTTAGAACATTTTCTGCTAAGCTACTGTACCATCAAATACTTTTGTTCAAAAGGGTGTCACTTTTCACTCATTGATGACTGCCATGACTAAGTAGCCTATTAGATAAGGCTATTTCGTTTTGAAGCGATGGGTTACCGGTTTCACTTACAGCGAGAACGCCACCTTTCATTCAGGAACAAGCCCATCCAGATGAGGAGTCCCAAATAGGAAGAAACGCGCCTCTTGGAGCCTACAGCTAACCATCGCCAAATAAATAATTTCCAGCTAATGATCATGGTAATATCGAGAGGTGTGAAGTTAGCGTGAGAGTTATCACATATAAAAAAATGAAAGCGCGGCATTTAAACTATTCATCACAGAGGACATCATAACACGGATGTCTAAATAAAACTTACTAAGTGATACCATCCACCGTAATATTAGGAAAATAGAGCACTTCACCAAAATTTTCCAAATCTTGAGGATTCTGAAAACAAAGAAGCATGAAGAAAAGTCACAGACTACTAGCGAAATAGTTTTCAAGTGTTAGATTATTAAGAAGACGGTTGCAGCGAAGAAAATTTTCTTTTCGTCAAAGTCATCAACTAGGCTGTACATTCATGTATTTATAACAAATGGATGGGAAAGTTCCAAAATAATTCCTGGTGAAGGGTCAAAATAATAAAATTACAATTAGGAATTAAAATGCCATGATGAACAGGGGGACGGATAAAACTCAAACAAAGTGGCGTCATAATTACTGAGAAGATTGACAAATTCCATTATGGGTAAATTTTATTTTGATAGAGTCTCACAGTGTTATACAGTAATATTTACTGATGACGTTTCGAGCACAACGTCATCAGTAAATATTACTGTATAACACTGTGAGACTCTATCAAAATAAAATTTACCCATAATGGAATTACACTCTACCACAGTGCCCAAGTTTTGTTCTTATATCAAAGATTGACAAATTGTGCAATTGGGGGTTAGAAATGTAGAAATAACAAAAATAGACAGGATGTTTGGATAACAAAATCTAGTGGGATTATAACTAATGCAATCAGGGTTAAATATGTAGAAATAATAAAATAACAAAATAGACAGGAAGTTCGGATATGAAAATATGGTAGTGTAAATAGGGATTAAGAAAAACTTAAAATAACATGAATAAACAGGAAGTTTGGATAAGAAAGGCAATGGGATGGTCATTACTAAAAGGATTACCTGCTTATGATGGCCATGGCAGGGACAAGGGTTGAACGTATTTCTTTTGGATACAGACCGTGGGTTTGAGCTTCTGGATAGCTAGTACCTTGGCTATGCCCAGATGACTTAATTTTACTCCCTTTGATAGGTTTGATCGAATTTTGTATATTATTTTGGAGGATTTCTTCGAATGGCGCTGAATGTCTTGAATTGACTAGATGTTCTTGTCACTGAACTATATATGCGTTTTCGATCTCCTTTTACTAGCCAGGCTGGATAGTGCGTTTTTCAAAGTGGCGCATGGTACGGCCGATCTATTCAGCTCCACAAAAGCAAGTAAACTGGTATATGCACGTTGAAGTGGCCTAATGCGACAGCTCGTCTTTCGCGATCTGGTTGAACAGTTTCTTGCAGAAAAATGTCAGTCGTAGGCTCGCGGTGAAGTACGTTTTCCTCAGAGATTTGGAGATGCGTTTACGAAGGATTTCTGCTTCAATGTCACCTTTGAATTCTAGATTGAGTAGAAGTATTTTCTCGGGAACGGATTGGGCTTGTTCGGAAGTCTTCTTCGATTTGAGATTCTTGTCCATGAACCTGGGCGGGAAACCGTTTTCCATCAGGGTTTTACGGAGATTACGCAGTTCTTCTTCAATCACTTCCTCGCTGCATATCTTCCGAATCCTCAAGGAAAGAGAGTAAGTATATCAGGTTCCTCTTTCTGCTTAGCGACACGAAGCTTTGAAAGTTGATGAATTGTCCATTCCATGTAGGCTTTTTGTATATAGACGTTTTCAGAGAGTTGTTGGTGTTTCTTATCAGATGGACGTCGAGGAAGTGGAACATTCCGCCGGATTCAGCCTCAAGAGTAAAGTCGATGTTTTGGTGGGCATTGTTGAAAGTTTGAAGTAAGTTTTCAAGGTCCAGGTTCTCATCACAGATGATGAAAGTATCATTGATGCGTCTCTTGTAGAGATGGAGGTCGTCAATAGTTGGTGATAAGGAGTCGGCCAGGAGGCGTCCTAGGGGAGAACCCATTGCTACTCCACCTAATTGCCTGTATAATTCGTTGTTGAAACTAAAGTTTACGTTGAAGGCGCATCGTAGTAACAGTTCTTTTAGGTAATGGATCGGTCTACCGACATCGATGCAATTAAACTGAATGTATTCACAAAGGAAATATACAATTTCTGTCAGTGGAACGTTGGTGAAGAGAGAGATGACATCCAAGGAGACCATTATTTCTGCCACATTGACATTCCTAATTGAATCAACAAAGTCGAATGTGTCTTGACAGCTTCTCTTTCACCAGTCCGAAAATCTCCACCGGCCATTTCGCGATTGTGTGATATGGGGAATCTATCATATCTAATATTGGGCGGAGTGGGACGTCTTGTTTGTGCACTTTAGGTAAGCCGTACATGCGCGGCGTTGTAGAACCAGATGGGCGCAGTTGTTCGTATAGTTTTGAACTGATAATGGTATCGTTTTTTATTTCCTTCAATATCTTTGTTGGCTGGAGCTCCATCTGCTCGGTGGGATCTTTCTGTGGAGACTGTTTTTGAAACTTTTTATCATCAAATAGTATCACCAAGAGTTTGGTTGGTAGTCTGATTTGTTCATCAAGGCGATCCCGGAGCCTTTATCTGGTCGTGTGATGATCAAGTTTTCATTACCCTTCAGTTCTTTCAGCTCCTTTCGATGTTCTTTGGGAAGTACGTTACGAAAGCTGGTTTTTTGGTTGATGTAATCGAGACAGCAATTTAAAACACTTGATTTGAAAAGGTCTGCATTTTCATGTGAGGTTGTGACCAGATCTTTCGTCTGGTCGATTAAATTCTCGAATTGAACTTTCGTGTTCAGTTCATCAGAAAACTTAGGTCCAAATGCTAAGATTTGCATTTGAATCGGAAATAGTGGAATATCAGAATAATTGAACACCTATTTTTCTGGACAAGTAGGAAAGACGGCTTCTTTAGTGACGGATTTTAGGTTTTGGTTTAGTTTCATTATAATATCATCTGTTCTTTTCTTTGTAACCTTGTTGGAGTAGTTTTCGAATGATGTTCTTTCGTCTTCAGATAACTCATAGAGAACGTGGGATGTTTTTGAGATATTCTGCTCTAGCTCAGGTAGTCTTGATCGAACTGCATCGATGGGATTCAGAGTGTGTCGTTTGAGGGTAGGTGAGTTAGGGGATATGTGATTTCGTCTGAGATGTTTTCAAAATACTTTGGGATACGCATGTTTCTCGAGACAATTCTTCAAGAAGAAAATCTTTGCATTCGCCTCAGCAAGCTTGACGGACAAACGTAGAAACTTGTTCAGTCCCTTTACTGTGGAACAGTCCTTGCTTCTCTTCAAATCACGGAATATACACATTGGATAATAGGAATTATTAAGAAGACGGTTGCAGCGAAGAAAATTTTCTTTTCAACGAAGTCATCAACTAGGCTGTACATTCGTGTATTTATAACAAATGGATTAGGTTGTCAGATTGCAGAAATTTGACTGATTTCAACTTAGATCATAACTAACATTAATTACACAACCAGTAAAAACCAGGGAATAAGAAATGGTTGTTACATCTTAGTTTAGGATCCTTCTGCAGTACACGCCCATGACCCCACCGGCAGTCGAATTCACCAATCTGTTATTATGAAGTGAAACCATTGACGACTCAGCTAGCAGGACGGAATCAAATGGTCGGTCCATGAATATATATATATGTAGCGCCAATGCCAGCCCACGACCAGACGAGACTGAGTCATGGATATATACTGATGAACGGTCCCAAAATAAGACTGAACAGCCGTCCAGTAATCCCCTAAATTCAATGAAAAGTGCTCATAATTTTTATTTGAATAATGGAAAAAATGATCAGTAGCTTACTTGACCTCTACAACGGACAAGAGGATTATTCGATAAGCTTTTATTCACAATATCAGGTAGCCAACCATATACCTAAGAAAAAGTAAAGTTATCGAAAGATTATAGAATATTTTATAAAGTATGCAGTATCTGTTCTCAATCATTTAACCAGTTATACTTACTTTAGATGTGTCGAAGGAAAAATTATTTACAAACTGTCCTAAATATATATGGGTAGTATTCACAAATCCAATTATGGACCATATCACCAAAATCTTTCAGTGTCATTGATTCTAAGCCATTTTAGACACCCTAGGTCACCTAGACAATCTACACCTATATATATGGCTCAAGCCAACTGTCAGAGACTTTATTGATTGATGCCACGTTGTGATTTAATCATCCGTAACTCTCTATCTTTGACAAGGAAGGTGATAGTCTTATATACGTAATACGTGTTCTAGCCATTTAAATCGTTAAAGTTTTACAACTTCATTGAATAACTTTCCCCCGTTACCTAATGAACATCCTACGCCTAACATCAGTGTTACTCAGAATATTATACCATTTAAGACGGGAGTTAGAACTCAGACACCTATGGTAGACAACATCTAGTCAGACTCTTCTCTTCATATCCTTATATCCACTTTCAATGGCCATATCTCACAGGCTAAAAAAGGAGAGAACGAAATGCTAGTCAGTACACACGTGCTTTCTTCGATAGCCAGATATCAAGGATATCTAGGCGAGAGACGATGTAGGTTGGCGAAGGCCAGAGGAGCCTTTTCTATCAGTGGTGAGATTTCGTCAGTAATCAGTCAGGCAGTCAGTGCGTGAGGGTTGATGCAACTTGACAAATTAGTGAAGTGGTAAGTCAACAGGCTGAACCACTTCACTGTCTATCTTTAAACTAGGAGTCGGTGCAGACCAGTCCTGAACACATCATCTCACATTTCACAGAGGTGAATAGCATGCGAAACATACGAAGATTTCTTTTCAAGGAGTTTAGTGGACGTGACAAGACAGAATGAGCCATTTTGCTGACTAGGATTGATGAGAGAGTCATAATTTCAGAATCAATGTCCTACTCGTATCAAATAATAGCAAATACTACTATGCTATTTCGTTCGCTTTCTTTGTTGCCGTTTATGGTATAACTTAGATCAATCACATATTTTGATATGAACATTTTCGATTTCCACAAGAAATCATGGTGAATTTCCACCTTAAAGTATGCCTAATTCGCTTCTTCAAACTAGAAAATAGAGATTTTTTGCCCATCAAATCATCACAAAATGCATATACAGAAAATATTCGATCAGTTGTCAATGTCTCACCATTGTTATTTTACACAGGATTCTGTGAAGTCCTTCTCAACATCTATCTGCTGAAGAGAAACCATTACTTGACGATAACTCTCCAAAGATAATTTGTTATTGACTACAATCATTACATCAAATATAATCAGACACAACTTCGAAACTCCGTTTTCTCATAATTACAGTGCTTTTTTAGCATTTGTCTCACACAGGTAGCAAAAATTCCCAGATATCCACAACAAGTGTTGAACCATTCTTATTGCATGTGTTATAATTTTGTCTCTGTAGCTTTTTATATTCGACTTTATAACTTTCAGTTTTTCGCATCTAACCATATGATAAGTCGTACGGTAGTGTCTAACTGAGTGTGTCGCCATAGCCGAGTTCCTATCTCTACTTTTCATCTTAGTAGGCTCCACTATACTAGATTTTGATGTTTTTGTACTCTACTAATCTAAGTGATCCTAATTTACTGTTTTGATCTGTGTACTTCACCCTTCATTCATTACACGATAATAAACTAGATTAATTTGTTTAACTGGCTGCACAAGATTCTTCATCCAACTTAATCTGTTTCAAAGTTAAATTAGATTTATTATGAAGAATACGTTGTGTGCGGAAAGTTACCCAGAAAATGATACCGGTTCTATGTAGTAAATGAACCAATATGGAATAATTACACTACACAGTATCCAAATTGTGTGCATAAATTATCTCATTCCGATTTCAGAATTTAATTGAGTACAAGATGTGAGGCTATATGATTCCTGATTGAGACTGAAATCTTCGATTCTTGATACTTTGTTATTGAGATATCTCTGGTAAATCCCAGAGAGTAAGTGGATCAGGGTCTCAGTATAACGATTCAGTGAATATCTTAAACACTGGATAAATAAATCTTGTGTCCAACTATTCTACCACTGGAATACAAATCAATGTGCAACTTCAGAATAACTGTATGATATCGTGTTTTCTAGTTATTGATTTGCAGGGACTTGAATGACTTCAAGTTAGTTCATTAACTGACGTATCAGTTAGCGAATCACTGAGAACCAGGGAGTACTGGACAGCTGTTTCGTCCAAATTTGGGACACTTCGGCAGTACACAGCGATGACGCTGTCGAAAATCTAAACCAGGATCTTCAGTATACAAAGCCATTCGACTGAGCATTCGACAACTGAGATGGAATCCAATGTCCAACACATAGAATTCGAACCTCTACCAGTCCACAACATATGGCACCAACGCCAAACAATATCATAGCTAATTTAGGCGCTAGGGCTGGCTCTTTTTATCACATCATCTTACTACTAATGAGTAGCTTAAAATTAAGGCGTAAAAGGAAAAAAACATTTTAATCTCTAGACCTTACCTTATTAATCTTTAGTATAACACAAGGTTGACTTCTGTCATATCCAAAATTATTCTCTTTCACGCAAACGCCAAGATCAACTGGATAAAATTTACACACTAAATCGACGTCGTCTGGTGATTTGATTTTATCACATGTAGCAAAACCATCTTGTGGCTGTATATTCACCTCTTCATAAAAGTAAAGAAACGTCCGTATATCCTGTACAAATGGCATGTAAGTTTGTGGATCTGAAGCTGCATAAGCAATTAATGTTGTCATAAAGTTATTCCTCGGTCTCATTCCCAGGCCTATAATAAATAATGAAAATGGAGCACTAAATTAACAGATGGGAAGATAAATTCATCTATACTTCCGCATTAACATATTAACAAACTATTCAAGTAGCTTAGGACATCATAGAAGTGGTTTTTCGCAACACCTACTAAGTCCCATACTCATACAAATTACTTATCAAATTACAGTCGATTTTCACATAACAATTATAAGATGTAAAGCTGAATTTGGTCCGTATGATTTATCAGATGCTACTGAGCAAGATATACGATTATCTGTTACCACTTCACTTCCACTAATTTACACCTTGCTGCAAGGGAGAAAAATTGGAAACACGACAAATCAGTGATTAATATGAACCCGCTACTACAAATAAAATGCACTTCATTTGGTAGATACAAATTTTATCGGTGATTCAACTAGACTGTTTATGAAATAATGACAGATTCCTACGGTAAAGATATTTACGCAGCAATATTAATAACTTCCGGCTATCGTACATATTCTGTGACTGACAGAATAAAGTAGAAATCTTCGCAAAGATTAATCTATTCAGACTGTTACATTATGAAATCAGAAATTTAGAATGACACTACAGTGTAGAAACATTAATATACGAGGTGAGTAAATTATTTCAAGGAAAATTAGTGGAAACGCTTAGAAATTCAAAGATGGATATTATGAACACGATTTGTAGCCTAAGTGAATGCTTTAAGCATTAATGTGTTCTTTGAGCTGGAAAGTTTAATTGAGAAGCTTTCATCTTCCCTTGAACAATATTGCTAGCGCTAACTTCACATCATGCATTCTCATGTATACCTCTGTAGTTAATACAGACTGCAAACTCAGTTAACAATTATACAACTTAATAGAAAAAGGTAGTTTATTTTAACAATCAATTTACACTTGGCGAGTGACTTTCAGAAATCATGTAAATTAACCTATGCAGTATTTTACTTCGTATTGTTTAGTAACCAAGTGAGATGTTTGCATAAGAAGTGGTATGCAACACCAATAGAGCCACTCCTGACACGCTTACTACACATGATGCTGACTGGTTGATATGAGTAGTTGCGCGCAACTCACATCAATCATATATGACCGATCAAGACTTGTGGTTGTCTTCAAGATAACTCACTTCGAAGTTACTAACTGGTGCTCGACTCCTCATGTCTGCCTTGCATAAATACTGAGACATGCAGCGTCTGAATCTTGTAGTAAGGGGCCATGCTAACAAGAGTATAGGCTAACACATATGGCTCTGATAATGCCACCATAGTTATAGACAATACCATGCTTCTGTTATACAGTTAAATTCACCCTACACTTGTACACAACGATAACAATCACTGAATTGCATTGATGTTGAGAACATACATATACTTATAAGTCACTTTCCACTAATAAAGGCATTTTCGGGATACTACTGATGGACAAAGTAACCCGGTGGTCTAGACAGTTGTACAGTTTATTTCAAATTTTGATTAGACATGCCATGTCTCTGTTCCTTTGTTTGATGTATTTTTCTCCAAACATTTCTGAGAAAATTCAAGATAAAGCGACTCATATTATTCAGTAAATATGTATTGGTGCACTATTAATTATTGTATGACCTTAAAGAGAACTTATATCAAATTATAAGTCCCTCCATAGTACGGGTAAATCAAATTTGAAGATAGAAAAAGCAAAGGTTGATTCCATTCGCCCAACAATGTATATCAATGGCAGTAAATATGAAGACGGCAGGAGGCTTCTTTACATTCCTAGTATAAAAGTGATCATTATTATCATTATTATTTAAAATAAGCAGAGAAAGTTAATAAAGCAAGATTTAATGAATTCATTAAATTTTGGTAGAACTCTTCAGATGAATACTCTGCATACAGAGATATGAAATTAAGATAAAGTGCACTGCGGTTCAATTAAATTACTTAAATAAACAATTAGTTATCAGTGAGTGAAAGAACTTGAATACATCAAGAATTTCGAACTAAATAATATTGATAATAATCATAATAATAGTAATGCTAATAATAGTAACGACAATAATAATCAATAGTATGCAGAGTATCCAACTGAAGAGTTCTACCGAAATTCGATGGATTCATTAAGGCTGGCTTCGTCAACTTTTGTTGCGCTTTTTAAACTCGTATCGGGAAATAAATGTCTCCAATTATTACTACTATTCGTCCATAGAACAAACGGCTTCAGTGGCACATCTCTATTCTGCTTCGTTCACTCTCATCACATCTGACTGGTTCCACAACTATTCAGATGCTTTCACTTGCCCTCAACATAATCACCTCCATATCGCACTCGGACACACTAAATCAGTGCTTCCCATCCGGTTTCCAATCGGCGGTTTGTCTGGCATTTAATATCACTCGAATATCTCAGCATATATTCAGTTCATCTCCACCTCCTTCTGTCCATTCATTGATTGACCAATAGACTGCTCGCTGGTTCGCCATCTGCCAGAGTTCCTTCTTGCTTATCTTATCTGACTATCTGGTTTTCAGTACCGAGTTAGTAAAGTGGGTATTTGTTGATCAAAGTCTGCAGTTGCCTGTTGAAAACGACGCATGCATTTATCCCATGAACCAAACAGAAGCATCGCTTCGACATTAGTGTGAAAAATTCAGGTTTGATTCCTTGTCCTAAGTGTAATGGATCTCCAAGTTAACTTCGCAGTATTGTTTTCCCAATCCGATCTTGACTGGCTGTCTTGATTGGATATCCACAGCTGTGACGCCAGTAGCTGAAACGAAGGTATCCAAGTAAGTAAAAGAGACAGCGTTCTTTAGATTTCTTTTATTAATAGCGATTAGTGTTTGATGTTCGCCTGAATTCAAGTCTTCACTGCTTCTCCAGTCAACACTCCGGTTTGCTCCTGTTTATCCAAGAAGTCGTGCTACATGAGACACATTCCTCTTTGAATTCATATTTTCTATGGTGTGTTTTTGGATTCAATATATGCGTGTATTCTCATTCACTACGACCTACTACACAATTCAGTCCACGACAATCAAGATCATCGGTAACAATAGTACTCTTGTCGTCAATTTAAACAGGTTGATGAGATTTCCCTTTGTGAATTACTCGGCATGTAGCAGCATCATCTAGTTATTGGATAGGGTTTAAAAATGTTTACAGCACCTGGTAGCATAAAGAAGATAGTCACCTAATGATAACATTTCATTGTGGACAAGAGCAGACGGTTATCAAGCATACGTAACATACATATACACATATATTAGATTCAAATTAGAAATCTCATCGAGTGACTTGACATACAAAACACTTACATTTTCCCTAGACAGAGCTGTTCGGTGAACAGCCTTTGATGGTTTCGTTTCAAATGTATAGCTGAGAAGTGTAAAAGGAATTCCTAAAAATTCTATTCTGAACTCAAACTGAAAGTTAAAAAATTACAAATCAGTACTTCATAAGAAAAAGTTACCATTTAGTTTAAACAGTATGAACATAACCAGAACCTGGTTTTTCCAAATGAGGTATACTGTGAACTGTTTTATCACATGTGTTATAATTGTTTATCCATGAAACAAAAATATATCACAAAAAGAGGTTGTGGAGGGATCCACGTGCACAATGAGAACTTAAAACTGCTTAAGCGCCACATAAACAAGAGAAGGCCTTCACCGCAATCTAACATCATAATCAGATTGAATGTGTCACTTTCAGAAACTCGTTTTGAATACAACTTTTTTGATGTCACCTAACATTTCTATTGGTGCCACACCTTTGGCTCCATCACCTCAAATTACATAATTCTTTGGCTGACTCGAATATACTAAGGATTATTTGTTGCTAGTTGAGTGCTCGCCAACCACGCAGGTGGTCCGGAGTTCGACTACCGGTCGACGCACTCCTTTACCTCGCTAAGCCATTAGTAAGACTAGTAAAGAGGGAAGGTTGGGCATGAGGCTAGCAACCTCATCCTGTAAAAATAATCACGACTGCTACAGAAACTTCAAGCCCCTAGCTTGAAGCCCTATGTTCCACTGGGAAGAAAGGAATAAGAAAAGATTCGTTGCTAGTTAGAATGTAGTATAATATCTTGTAATACTCCAAGAACAGTGCCAGTAGGAAATGTAGGAAATCCAGGCTGATAAAGATGTGGGTGCTTACGATAATTTGTTGGTTTGAATATCCATAAAAACATTCCAGTTAATGCCATTCATTGTGATCAGTGTACATTAAAAAATAACCTAGGCTAGCTAGTGTTGAATAGTTGCTTTTAGTCCCTGCAATAGTACTTGTTTGTATTTAAAGGTGCAAATTAAACTAGTAGTGTTTACTATCTCTCCATAAGTGATTTTAGTAACTAGTAATTCTAACCCTGTTTGCTGATATAAACTCGCTAACTCAAATCCAGTTAGTCCTGCTTCTTCTTCTGTTTGGTAAGACGATTAAGAAAAGATTACTTAATGCAAGCATCTTACTTTAAGGGCTTGTAGGTAACTGCAAAAATACCACGAAATCCACTTTCATAGCTGAAAGCATACCTATATTGTAGGTTCTTAATAATAATTTTGCACTTCAAAGATACACGGATTTCAGTTTCAAGTGCCTAGAAATATTTGCTATATCTTATCGGTGAACGAATTGTCCATTCGCTTTGAATATACTTATAACTATTTGAAATACAGCAAAAATTTTGAAACCAGTCAGAACCTAATTCATTACAAAGACCTTCCTATCTACTTATCATTCATTTAGGTATGCTTCTCTGAGAATATTTTGAATTTATTGACAGCTGAACAGGACAGATAGACACAGAAACAGACCTTAGTACATTGTGAGAACTCGGCGGTATCAATGTACAATGGACTTAAAATACAATCAAGTTTTTAGATGTTTTAAAGTAAAACCACAATAAATCAAAGAATGTAGACAAAAAAGACAAAAATTGCCCCTAGGTTGAGCGCAAAATCTGAAAAACATATAATAATATCTTCTTTTACGTACCCCAATGTACACAGCCTTGTGCCGCTAAATAATCATAAGTGAGCTTATAGTTTTTTTATGCATAACGTAACAGGTTTTAGTATATATATATATATATATATATATATATATATATATATATATATATACGTATTGACCAACAAAACAACTGAAACTACTGCAATACATCCCAGAACTTTCAAATAATGTATTCATCAAATAATTCATAACTTCAAATATGTGTGGAATTATTTTAAGATATTTAACTCCACAGTTTCATCCACACACAAACCTTTCAGATCTACAACATTAAAAGTGATAGTAGGACAAATAATGTCGACATAGTCGTATCACACTAATTTCTCATCCCAAATGTTGACTGTATGGCGACAGGTATACATGAGCGATAAACTTTAAATTAACAAAACATAAATGTGACGAAGAAAAATGTTGTAAACAAAAATTACTGCAACTAACCTGGTGAGAGAGCAAGTGGGCTGTCCAAACCAGTTATGTAAGGTTGATCATTACTTATTATAAGTTGAGTTATTATTATCAACAAACCAGTCATGATGATAAACAAGCACAAATAGAGAATGAAGTAGTGCAGCCAAAATTTAACTGAAAAGGCATATCAAGGTATGAAGAAAAGTAACCTACTCCATCCGCCCAAAGTTCTTCCCATAAGATATTTTGTTTTTTCATCACTGCTCCATATCTGCTTTTTATACCATGGCTCTGATTTGACTGTGCTCTTATGTGCAGAACCCTCTTTATCCAAAAACGGTTGTTTCTCGTCAACAGTAGCTCCCATTCCCAAAAAATGTAGCACCAAAAGTGATATTGCCGCTGTTTACAATATGACTTCATTTGATACGAAAGTAATTGTACAATTCTCATGATCAAATGTTTTTATCCACAATACAATTTTTTTCAAGAGCTTAAACTGACATCATATATTTTTTCTATCATCTAGTATAGATCAAGTTTGTTTTTTCATGTGTAGGTTGAAGCTCAGTAATAATAATATATTCTCATTTTTGTAAATGAGGGACGCCAGTTTACAGGCATCATCACTTCTTTAAATTACACATACGACAAATAAGCATAGCTAGTAATGATAATATTATAAGGTGCATATTTATTCCTACCTATATAGGACACGGGTTGTATAGGCATGTATAAGTATTATTTAAATTACATATTTAAATTACATGATTTATGGTTAAATTACATGGTTACTGTCATTTTGTCTCTAATTTGTGGGAAAAATCTGATAACTAGTGATTCAGTGAACCACATGAAGAAACATTGAGATATTGACTTTGCATTAACAACAGAGTATGCAAGAGGTCAAGCAGGATAAAGTGGCGTCATTGAAGCCTAAAAATAACCTACTGAAATTCCAGAAACAGTACGTATAATACAGAATGGAATTCTCACCATTTCTCGCAATATTTCATCTGAATTACTTAAAATATAAATTGTCCACAGTTACGGTATTAATTCAAAAAATATTCAAGGGAGGGTTACAAATATAAGAATACTGACAATAAAGCTTGAAGGGATGAGGATGGCTTATTCACTAATGCAAATGAGGTTAGTTATTACGTCCCTGACACTATTTTCATTGCATAAAATACGTGCCAAATGTGGTATCGTGGATGTTCTATACTAAGACGTGCACGCACACAGTCTTTTGAAATGACTTCTCGTTTTCCTGAGGAGACACGAGGTGAAAGCTGAGAGTGAAGTCAGTGCTCGCAGTCTGCCAAAATCAAGTGCCCATCGCCAATGACGATTGAAACGATATAGACCAAAGGGAGACCACTCGCCCTACTGACAGTCTACACAATTCTACGAAGTATGACATAGTCTTCCTTTAGCAATCCAGGAAAGAATAAGGGTGACCAGTACAGAAGAATAGGTTAGATAAACGATTTGACAAACTGTAAGAGGAGGGGTTGAGTTATGCCTAAGTGCCTTAACTTCTTAATGTGAAAAGTCAGAAGGAATTATCTTTTAGAAATCGCTAAGACATAGGAAGACCAGGATAGTTCAGAAGAAAGAAGCAATCCAGGATACTTAACGTCAGACTTGATTTCTATATCACCATCATCAATTATACAACGGTCATAGAAATTAACAGCTTCATTTAACTTTCCTTTACATCTAAAACTGAAATTAACAGTCTGACATCTGGAAGGATTCAGTTTAAGACCATTTACTGACTCCTGACAGGAAGCTATTGTTCTTAGTACAGCCTAGTTGGAAGTTAACAGGCATCGAAACATTTAAGTCATCCGCATACTTAACAAAGTAGATATGCAAATACTGCAGCTATTGATCATAGAAATGATGGATATCAGATGAAATCACATGATCCAAAGGCATATTAGAAAAAATAAACATGGTTTGTAAGCTCATTGCCAAGTAAAGAGTCTTGTAGTAGTAAATAAATCCCTAAAATTATTGACCACAGCAATCATCACTCAACCTTGGATGCTGACCCTCACTGTTTAAGTCGACTTTTTTAGCTGAAGGCTTCCGGTCAAGCATCCTTGCCATTCGGTACTCTGTCGTGTCACGTGCGTGCACGATCACTAGCTAGTCAAGCACTCGATACAGTTTACTATTTGGTCCCGAAATATATCACGTACTTTGGACGGTTAAATCTGGTCTTTTGCTTTGTCTTTGGTACACGAGGAACGAATATTATAGAAGTTATTGGTATAAGATCTTGCGTCAGTATACTCCGTACAATTCGCGAACGTCGATACCGTCAGTCTCCAAAGTCTATTTGACGATGCCAGCGAATATCAACAGATTAATGAAGTAGCTATCAGCCATAAGTTACTACACTTACTTGTACTACAAACTTGGAGTCCAGCAGTTTACAGACTTGCAACTGGCTAAATAAGACGAATTTAGAGTATGGAACAGTACAGATTTATTATTCAACTTGCTAAATCCTAATTAGTTTTTACAGTGTGCTATTGTATAGAAACAGACACGAAATCTTATGAATGACTAAAGTAACAGTCTCATAATGCTATAGTGAGCCTCCATTCCTTTAACTAAGCTTAACACTCATTAATCCGAAATCACGTATTACAAGAGCTCATAGCATAGTGACGAACTGAAGAAGCCCGGAAGAAGTGGAAATTAAAGGTATATTAAACATTTTATTAATTTACAAATGAAAATTTTGTTAAAGGGTATTAGCGTTAGTTTGACCGATTGACATTTCCGCTGATTTTATATTCAACAGCCTCCATATACCTAAAAAATAAAGCACATCTAAGGACTAGTACAAATAAACTTATTAAAGTGAATTTTACATATTAGCATACAATATGTATACAGTAATTCTATTAAAACTAAGTAAAATTCTCATGCAAATGAAAGTATTTGTAGTCCACAGCCGGCTTTTGTAATGACGCCGTATGCATAAATAGACCTCATATGCTTTCCAGTACTAGAAGATTACACGCAAATTTCAAGACAATATCACACTAAATATGTTTACATTAAGGGAAGTATTGGAAATGTGTAACTTAGAAATGAATCGACAATCTCAGTAATGCCTAGTGACTATAGTGTTATGAATTCCTCCGAAATTGCATTCTAACATTTAGGAAACTATAACCATCAAATATAAGCTGGATATGCCTCAACTCTGAGCAGCTATGCAAAGTGTTAACAGCATAGAGACACTTAAAATATCGTAAGATACACCGACCTGTTGTGTTGATGAGGATAACGACTTCATATAATGCCACCTAGGCATTCAATCGTGATACCGCATCTCTACTGCTTTTTGTAAAAGGAAATTTCAGGAAGAATCCATCTCCACTATTGGTGATCGAGAATATTGCAGCATTAAGCATACAGTGTCAGTGGAAATGACATAATAGACAATAGATTGATAATAAAAGAGCTAACTAGATTCAGTCCTCATAATGGACACAATCTATGTGTATAATAATATTATACACTGAATTAATGCACTTAGTGAAACAGTGAGGAAAATGAAATGATTAATTGCCTTCTCCACTACGCTACACTTGCAACAATCATGAGGAACACCTAAATTTGTTAGTATAGCAGTTAGCTAAGCACACAATGGCACAATATTAATAAAGTTAAGATATTTTTTATACATTGGATCCACATAACCCATATTACAATGCATCAGTCAATGTAAATATATATCAAATTCACCTAGAAAGGTTTCAACTTTGGGAGGTTTCTAAGGGAAGCGCGCTATTATAACATTTTAATCATTATATATCCAAGCTTGCGCACTCATTGGTTTTTTTATCACTGTGCGTCGGTGGTTAGGACTCTCGCCGACCATGCACATGGTCCGGGGTACGACACCCTGCCAACGCACACCCGATATCTATGATCGGCCTGCGAGATTTGTGCTACCGATATCCATGCTGAAAATTGCATACATGTACTGAAAATACGGTGTGGAATCAAGCTGCAATCAAAATAAAAATAATAAATAATATATGACGTCATATTTGAAATCGTTTTCCCTCAAGCCGCTCTAAAAAGCATGCTGATCAAAAGTACCCCCTGCGGAAAGGTTATGGGCCAATTTCCTGTGTATGAGGGAATGCACCGTGATGACTGCAAGAGATGGTTTCATAGCATGTGCACAAGCCTAACTCCTGCAGCATACAAGCGCGGCTGCAAACCTCCGTCGAACTGGTTGTGCAATGACTGCTGTAGTACTACAAAGTTTCGTATAACAGAAGCTATTGCCACTCTCAGTGGGGCTCTAAAGCTCACGGACTGCAAAGGTCTTCTGCCACAGGAGAAGGCCGACTATCACTCAGATACCGATGACGTAACTAGCGTTATGGACAAAACAATACATGTTTCTGATGCGTCCCTGTCCATCAGTGAGTTCCCTTCAGCACGGAAGAGCACTCATCATATTTCAGACACCTACGCTGCCCCACGGTACCGGATAGGCCCTCCAGTGACAGTAACGGAAAAACTGGTGCGAAGAAAATGCGTACCAGATGTCGAAAACCTGCAAAACAACTCGCCCAAGGACTGGTAAATCAATCCTCATCCACACCAGTGGATAGAGGGCAGATAAAATTGACTACGATGAGCGAGGTGGACGCCGATGAATAGCGTAATCTCGTCTCCTGCAAAAGCCGAGATAAGGACAACACGTCGGCTACACTGCCCAAGAAAGACAGAAAGACATTTACGCCTCAGAGCAAGAAAGCCATGGCAAGTAAACATGGTCTTTTCGATGGGTCACTCATTCACCACAAAGTGGAAGAGTCACTGGCCTCCAATACCAAAGTCATGTTCGAGCATGAACTCAACTTGGTCAAGCCTCTTTCAGATAAGCCACTGCGAAAAACAGAACCAGGCATAACAATACACAGCGTATATAGAATCGGCCAAAGGCCTTACCCCACAGTAAATCAGCCTGTACGCCTCCTCAAAGTCGTACTAAAATCCAAAGAAGAGGGAAATGCCAGTCTAGGCAACTCTACAATTCTTAAGGGATCAAACATATATATCCGCGCCGACTTATACCCAGCAGACAGTGTCAAAAGATAGTCTGCAGCCCTAGAATTAGGCGAACGACGTCGAAACGGCGAAAGGAACCTTAGGATTATGTGTTTTTAGGTCGTCAAAATTCGAAGTTTGATGATCCCAAAACCTCTATGTGTTGGCCGCGGAAGCACCAAACTGAATTAACAGTTTGCTACACAAACGCTCACAGCCTTTTGAACAAGCCGAGTGAACTGGGTAATATGATAGGCTGCGAAAATCCGGATATCTCACACCCGATGTCACTGGCAACGAAGTTAACCTGCCAAACTTCGAAGTGCATGGAGTGGACCGACTAATAATAATAATTTATATTTTTATATAAACATAAATTTACATGAAAATGCATGCCATTTTTACAGGCACGATCAAGTATGATATAATGACAAATAGTAGATTGTCTACAGGTTAATAATGTTTGAACAGTTAAATATTTGATATATGTATAAATACACTCTTTGTCTGACCCATGTCGTATCATTATTGATTTAAACAGCAGTCCTCCAGGTTCCGCAGGAAAATCGACTTCATTTCGTTTTCAACCCGTAGTTGTAGGCATACGATAACCAACCAATACTGAGGTAAGTACAACGTTTACAAGGTATAGTAAGATTATCACTTTTTTTAAAAGTTCAAATTGTTGAATTATATAGTACAAGCAATCGGAACAGATTCTTATAATTGTTAATTTGTAAATCTTCCGCGAATGTTTCCATCGAAGTTGAGCGACAACCACGTACTTGAACGCTATTTCAGGAAGAGGAGAAAATTCTGCACAGCTACAAAGTGGTATAAAATGCAATCATGAATAATACATTATTGAAAGTATATTTACAAGAAAAATACAAGAATAAGCTACACAGTACTTGATATGATAGTGCACATTTGCAATGTATGATGCTAACCATATTGGTCTTATCATGGAAAACTATGACGTTTTCTATGAAAATAAAGTTATTCTCAAACATTAGTGCTGTTGTTATGTTTTTTTTTACCATCGGAGCAACCGAACTTTATGCGAGAGAAGAAAGAAAAACAAAAGAGTAAATTTCAGCTTTACTAAAGGCCTAGGAAGTTGAGATAAAATAGAGTATAATAGTAATTAGGTAGAAGGATTATCGTGAAGTATATAAGTAACATTTCAGAGAGAAGTGGCTAGAAGGATTAGAACCTGTTGAATATGGTGACCTGTATGATGTCTGGCGAACTTGTGTATGGCCCATGGGATAGCATCTTGACAAGAAACTGAGCAGGCTTGTAGATGTTACGAGCGAAAGCATTATTATTTATTTTTTTACAAGCTAAAACTGTACAGTCATGGTTGTTTTGGTTCGTTTTTTAATTTTTTTTATAAAGTCAATTTTTTATACTTTCAGTATCTAAACTCATGTTTAATTCTCGAGCTGCCGAAACTAAACCGTAACGGAAATGGCGTAGCCATCTACCTCAAGAAATGTGTAGCAACGAAGCATTCACTCACAAAAGTGAAACGTGCGAACCTCTACGCTGCAGACTTAAATGAATGGGCCAAGATATTGACCTCATTGCTATATGCTGCAGACCTGACGGCAGTGCAGATGACTTCCTAATGGACAAGCTAGGTTCCTGGACTTTGAAATGTCGAAGTTTCATAGTCGACGACTCCAACGCCTCAATTTTTGACTGACGAAGCTATCAGCTCACATATCCGGCCCATTGACCACGGTTTTCAAGCTCCCTCTCCTAAATGGAGTGTTAACACGTGACTAGAAAGACACCATAGTAACCTCCAACCGCAAAGGAGGATCAAGATAAAGCCCTTCTAATTACAGGCCTATTAGCCTCACCAGCACTTTAATCAAGACACTGAGAAGAATCATCAAGAATAGCATCACGGCATATCTGTCGAACAACAAAATGTTATCTAGAGCACAGCACGGCTTCCGAAGAAACCCTTCATGCCTGTCAAATCTCCTCACTGCAAGAGAAAGTTGGGTCAAATCAAGGGACATCAGAAGACCCGTTGACGTCGTCTTCAAGGACTTCAGTAAAGCCTTCGACAATGTTCCTCACAAAGGACTACTCATGAAGTTGGAAAGTCGTGACATCAAGGTCAGGTCACTAAACTGGTTTGAGGAATTCCTCATAGGTAAAGGGCAGAGGGTTAGGATCAACTTGAAACTCTCCTCGTGGACAGTAGCGAGTGGCGGATTTCCAAAAGGCACGGTACTCCTACCTCTCCTATTTATTTTGTATCCCAATGAGTTGTCTCTGCTCACCGATTCCTATGGACCTATATGCAGATGACTTAAAGATTTTGAGGGAGGTGAAGTTCAACAGTGGTGCATTCACGTTTCAAATGGATTTGAACAAATTGTCAGAGTGGTTTAGGTAATGGATTCTCCAGATCAATGTGATGTTTTCGATTTTATCGATGACCTACCATGCCTTCTAAGCTGCCCGTCTCTTATACACCCTAACGGCGTGAAGATATGGAGGGCGATAAAGTGAACAGAGGACTCAGATAGGCTACAGACAGACCTAAACCCTCTGGAAGACTGGGCGGTGGCCAGTGGCATGACTTTCAACCTGAAAAGTGCAAAGTAATGAAGTTACGCACCTGTAGACTGCAGAATGCAAGTTATACCCTGTGCAATGAAAGCTTGTCCTGTACAACGTCGGAACGTGACTTGATCTAGTTCTAACGGAGAAAGTGGACACAAGCGTAAATTACACGGGGGATGTAGCGAGGGAATATGCGGTCATACACTTTACACATAGACAGTTAGGTGCACTCACTCCTGAGCTCTTTCTAAGGTTGTAAAAGACATACGTCAGACCGCACCTTGAAGTGCAGAATATTATTGCACTCCCAATGCTTAAAAGAGACGCCAACCTTTTGAAAAGAGCCCAAAGACGGGTGACAAAAGGAGTGGTTGATCTCTGAAACAAACCACTTCATGAAAGGCTAAAGAAGTTAGGCCTATTCACACTTAGCTACCGTTGGCTTAGGAGGGATTTGATTACTGCCTACAAATAACACCCGATATCTATGGTCGGCCTGAAAAATTTGGGCTACCTATATCCATGCTGAAAATTCCATACTTGTACTGAAAATACGATGTGGCATCAAGCTGTAAATAAAAAAAATAAAAATAAATTGGATATTGAATCTTCACAAGGTCGTTTCTATGTATCCTTTCAACCAACATGCTTTTGTTAGTCGCTATTTGGTTAATCACATATTTGGTTGTCCCAACGTTGCATGGTATTTATCCAACATAATTAATACTAACTACTTGCAGGAAATGCATGCGTATGTGATATTAGGCCGCTGATTTGTGAAAAGTTTTGTCAATGCGATCCCGGTTGTTCCATTGATGATTGGAAGTCTTTTAATAATTCTCATTCAAAGGAAGAGTAATTAATATTTTCTTCAGCTTATTTTCCTGGGGCTATTTCAGGGGAAGATGGTGTATCCCAAAGGCGCTATACTTTTCATCATCAACTACTTATTTAAAAAGTCAAGAGGATGAAAACCTGTGTTTTTCTGATGATGCTTGTAAGATCTAAAATTGCAAATGATTCTTAGTTGTGAAACAAAATTTCCTCAATTCGAAATACGACACGTCAAAATTACAGTGGAAGCCTGTTCACATAAATACTTTGAACTTTTGGAATGCTTGCGTAATTCAACAAAAACTGATTTGCTTTAATACTTTTGACTGTTAGACTGAAACTAGCCTATGCGTGCTTTATAAAAGCAATATGCTTGGACGTTTTACTATTCCTAGTGGTCAGGGATGTTTGATCACAGCCAGTCCAAGTAAGCACATGTCATCACTTTCCAAATACGTGAACCTTTTTTCATAATACAGCATAATTTACGATGACTATACTGAGTCAAAACGTTCTAAAGCATTTCACACTATATGTGGGATATATTTTAACTGCTTTGAGTTGATCGGCTGACTCTTTTTCGCAATTAGGTATATACTTTGATTAGCTTCTTACTGCTGAATATATGCATATTTTCAGTCTCTTCAAACTCAGTTATCTCTCCCATAGATCTTTTCGAAAAAGTTAGTTTTCATTTATAGAAGATATCAAATATTCTGCTGTCCAAGACTCTTGACTTTCCACAAAATTTGGGGTCCATATGCTTCAAAACCAAAACATCTTGAAAAATGAAATTAACTTTTATCTAGCAGTACAGGTATTTATATGACTAAAATTAACAAGGTTGTGTGGTACTAGAACCTCTAGGTCATATTTCCCAGTGATAAGTAGAAGCATTAATTTAGAAATAACCGTATTTCGCCCGCTCACTTGCTCTCTTCACATCAAATTGAGTTGATATACTCTAGTGCAGTTATAGGTGCTTTTGCTAACAACATTGATGTTGGCTATGGTATATGTAGCTCTTATTGCAATAGTTTATAAGAACCTTGGGACCGAGTCATGTTCTCTGTGAAATAATACTGCCACAGCCCAGGTAGCATTGACTTCGGGCGCAGTGCAGAATATTTGGGGCAGACTGCAGATCACTATCTCACATTCTGCGATGCGCCCGAAGAAAGTGCTGTCTGGGAGGAACCATAGCTTTATCATAAGTTACCAGTTATTTAAAAAAAAAGATAGGTCCCAGCTTGTATATACTACCTCAAACAGATTACCTGGATATTAAACATATGTGACAGTCAGACTTTTGTAAGATAAATTACTCATAGTCTTCGACGAATACTTCCAAATTATAAAGGGGAACACCTCTGATTTTGTTTCTTTTAGTGAATGCTTCTTTCCATTTGTTTAATACAACAAGGGGGTGAGTCGTTCAGCACCGACACTACCTCACCGATACCACTAAAAGGCAGTGGACTTTGTCATAACAATAAAAGATTACATTTCATTGTGTGGAAATGCTCTAAATGTATTAAAACTGTCAGACGGTGCTAACTTTTTTATAACGACGTACCAACTCTTGTGCTTTGATACGATAATGATTACATTCTGTAAGTGGTAAAAGTTACCGTAGCCTAGCTAACTAATACAAGGTCCATAAACTTTAACAAATACTCGACAACTTATTTTTACTCCTCTCTGGCCATGATTTTTAGTTTACTTACATAACTCTCAGAATAACTTTCAGCATAACATACTTTAAAATATCACAGAGAAATTGAATTAATAGTTCGCAGTCATTCGCTTTGTTTAAATGGTTTCTTTAAAAATCGTCTAATTTACTCGTAAGATCTTGAAGGATTCAGCCTTTCGGACTGGTAGGAGAGTGATCAATAAAATATCATTTGTCAGCCTCAGAAATAAGTTGAGCAATTAGAACTCATTTGTCATGTACGAGGCTATCAACCACACTGACTGTATAAAGGCTAATGAAACTGTCTACTTTCTCAAAGTTAAGTAGGCATAAAGGGATTTGAAAGTCGAATGCTCAAGTGAGTGAGCCACACGAAATAAGACTTGTTATGGTAGATTATCAGATGCTTGTACTTCAAATCAGAGGTATAGACAGTTAAAATAACTCCATGATGGGTTGACTCATGCCAAAGACTGAGTATAATAACTTTCAGGGCTCATTTTACCTACAGACAAGAATAATTAGAATAACTTTTCGACAAATTTTCCCTCGGACTCTTATTTCGCTTAAGTTTAAATTTTTTGACGGCCCTTATGCACAGATTTTCTTTGCCTGTTGAGCAAAAGACTGTAAAGTTGGTATAGTAGAGGGGAGAAGATTCTCCTTCTGCGATGAATTCATCTTCATAGCTGTATACAATTATATTTACGTATACGTAGATTTCAGTAAACAATAACAAGTGGTTTTGTGTGCATTACGGTTTGCCGATAAGTTGAAATAAAGTGTTATAGTAGTGGTATAGATGTCTCGCATAATGTGATTAAAAATATGAATGAATAAAGAAGGCTCAACAGAAAGTTCAACCGACATTAGTAAATAGACGTCACTTAAACTAGGTACATTTATGAATGCGAATAGGTGGATTTTCCAGGTGAAATACAATAAGATAGGGAAATAAGATGAGTGAAATGTCGTTAGTTAAAAAAAAAGTTAGAATGTTATAATACAAAGTGACACCTGACAAAACAAAGTGAAACAATATAGAAAACGGAGTTTTTGGGAGTCACGTAAAATTAAGTATAATGTAATGAAAAACACTTTACAGATAATGTCTGCACAAAAACTGGCTGTACATTATGTGTTGCTATGCAAAGCAAGTGAACTAGTGCCCTCTTTCGGATATAAAAATGAAATCTTCGCTCAAAGGGAAGTTTCTTCGGTGAAATATTTTTTAAAATTTCTTGATCATGATTATTAATTTACTCTTTAGTATACTTCCAACCCTAAATTATTTTAGGATTCTTAAGTAATACAACAACGAAATGCAATCGAATGTTAAATTTAACAGATGGAGGTACAAGCTGTACACAACTGCCGAATATTTTAACCTATACCGATCAATTACAATTTATTCGACTACCTATATCAAAATTTACTGGAAGTGGAGTTTATAATATCGAAGCTATTACAGCGAATCAGAGTATAAAATCAATTGTTTCAATAACTTGTAAAGACTCCAGTGATTCTATAATCTCTTGTCAAAAATCTTCACCGGTTTTTGATAGAAACACGCTTACATGTAAAAATGTTATAACTGGCGTAAGTTTGATACTATATATATATATATATATATATATATATATATATAATTATCGTTTTCAAGCTGTGAAGACGTATTAATAGCATTAGAAATTACTCAGTCAATATACACACTATAGTAATAAAGATAATTAACAGGATGTTTAGGGCGGTAGAGTTGAATTAAATGAAATACAAAATCTTTGATGCTTGTTAAACAAATGAAGTGCTATCAAAATTTAAACAATAGGTCAAGTTTGTAAAAATTATATTTGTAAAATCCCAGAGAAACTGAAATGATTAATTCCAACGTTTCGTTTGGCAAACTGGTTCGAACTTCATCAGGGAAATTAATCGAAATTAACATAACAGAGGTTTATATGTAAAAGGATATCTCTTGTTTTTAAATTCTTTGTCCAATCATATGAATCATGAAACAGGTATCAACAGGTATAATAAACAAAAATTGTATGAACTGTGATCAAAATTTGACCTTAGACTTTCAAAATTAGTCTACTTTTGTTAAAATATATGTGTATGTGTGTATATGCAGTATACAATGGTATGTGTATGTGTGTGTGGGTGAACAGTCATAAAACATTTGTTAGTCTTTCCATAAGAAGACGTAGACAATCGGGAAATTTGACCAAGTATGACTAATTGTTGATACATATCCAATTTTTATTTATTAGTCAGGATTTACCATGCATCAGCTAACATCACACCTTCACGTGTGTTCAAACTGTTGGGATTCACCCAAATATGCGGGGCTTCTGCAGTCAGTCTTTCTTTATATGTACCAAAACCTTTCTGTAGAACCTTAGTCTTATCAAAGTCGATTTTGTGTCCCGTTTCTATCAAATGCAGTGCAATCGCTGAGTTGTTTTCTAGCTTCTTCAAGTATGCAGAGGTCTTTGGAACCACCTTTAGACATTGCTTATGCTCTTTCACTCTTATATTTACCTGTCTAGAAGTTTCTCCTACATATACGGCGTTACAATCCCCACAATTGATCTGGTATACACAATTTGCTGGTTTTCTTGTTCTATTTTATCCTTAACCTTAACCAGTAATGAGCGTAAGGTGTTTGATGTACGAAAATACACTCGTATGTTATGGTCGTTAAGGATTCGCATTACTTCTTCGGATGTTTCTTTGCGGTAAGGAATCACCGCTGTACTAACCCAATTCTTAGCATCAGGTTTTGATTCATCCTTATCTTCACATTTTAAATATCTATTTATGAAGGTTTTTGGATAATTATTTGATTCAAGAGTAGATTGAACCAATTTTAATTCCTTGCTAATATCTTTCTCCTCAGTAACTAGACGTTTGGCTCTGTTGATCAGATTCTTGGCCACAGTTACTTTGGTGGTAAATGGGTGAGCTGAATAATAATCTAGGTATCTATCCGAATTTTTCGGCTTTCTGAAAATGTTTATTTTAAATTTGCCATCTAGTTTTCTTTTTACTAAATAGTCCAGGAACGCAAACTCATTCTCATTGGATTCAACCTCTTTGGAGAACTTGATAGTTTCTGACATATTGTTTATTAAGTGAAACAGTTCATTTAACAAACCATGTTTGATTATGATGAAGGTATCGTCTACGTATCTTAACCACATCTTTGGGGGACTAGGGCATCTCATAATTGCATTTGTTTCTAATGAGTGCATAAACAGATTGGCGACTAGCGGAGATACTGGTGATCCCATAGCAATGCCTCTTGTTTGACGATAAAGAACCCCTCTAAATGTAAATAACGTGAATCGAAGACACAATTCTAATACCTTCATAATTTCGTCTGCATTTAAAGGGCAACGACCACTGAGTTCGTCGTCAGCACTAAGTAAATTACAAATAATACTTAAAGAATCATTAGTGGGGACATTCGTGAATAATGAATAAACATCGAAACTTGCCATTATTTCATATTCTTCAATATTAATCAAGTTTATTTTCCTCTTAAATTCATACGAATTCTTCACCCCATGCTCCACTTTCATTTCAAATGGGCTAAGTATTCGATGAAAGTATTTAGAGAGTTTGTATGTTGGGAAATTAGTAAAATTCATTACTGGACGTAATGGAACTTCTGGTTTGTGTATTTTCGGTAATCCATAAATTCTACAGGGGCTGCAACGTTTTGGAGCCAGAGTAAACCGAAGTGATACCCCGAGCTTCTCTTTTATTGACTGTAACATTTTGCTTGTTTCAGCCTTCAGCTTATTCAATGTTCCTTTTACATATAAACCTCTGTTCCGTTAATTTCGATTAATTTCCCTGAAGAAGTTCGGACCAGATTGCCGAATGAAACGTTGGAAGTAATCATTTCAATTTCACTGAGATTTTGCAAATATAATTTTTAGAAATGTCTACTTCTCACTCGGCTCTCAATTATTTTGAAACTATCCGGTCAAATCTTGATCACAGTTCATATGAATAGGTCAAGTGTTATCAAAATTTTAAGTTAAATAATGATAAAAATGAAGAAGGTGAAGATGAAGTGAACTAAAATAAATTTGAGCGATAAAATAAAACATAAAAAAGGAACACTGCTTTGATCAAGGTATGGAAAGCGATTCAACAAAACGCTTTCGAATATCTGCATATCTGCTCCTTTGGCTGTACATAAGTGGAGAAAACGTAAACTTTTAGGGTGAATGAATTTATCCCTTTAAATAACTTTAGGTGATAAATAATATGAGTTGAATGATCTAACCGAATTTTTTTACAGACCAAGAACTTTGTCATTCTCTGCTCACATTTCATCAACAGAACCAGGTAGTATTCAATCACGCATTTTCCGAGAGCATACTTACAGCAATGAATGTAATGAGATCTACAGAAGCATGCGATAAAGCAGATGCACATATTTTTCTGTTTGAATTTATAGGTATATTTGCATCCTGTTTTCCTATTCTGTATCCCTTCTTTCAAAACTAAATATTTCTTCATAGGTTACATATAAATTTGCGTATAATGAAAATGGTTTAACAGAGATCTCCGTAGAATTTAAATTTTCAAATATAGAGACTGAAGTGTTCGACGAGGTGTACACTGTCCAGTTTATTGAAGTAAGTTGTGAACATTTGAAATAATTAAGTGGTATTCAATATTTCATGTATGAAAATTTTTCTTTACCCATTGAAAGTTATGCTTAAACCTTTACAAGAGTTGACTCTGAGTCATGCTCCTTCCCCTCCTTCTAAGCAAAATACTAAGCCGCATCACCCTGGAATGAAAGAAACATACTCTTGATCTATAACTCCTCAAGGAAAAAGTGAAATGAAGACAAGAGTAAGACAAAACAGCCTACTATTACCGATAACATTCCTGATTGTGGTTAACTGTAGCATGCTACAGGCCTTGGGGAGTGAAAAGACGGACATACTCTAAAAAGACAAAATAACCTTCAAAAATTTAGATCTCACGGGTAATTTGCTCCTTGTGCAGCACAAACCGAACGTTCTACAACCGAAAATCAAAGATCTGACAGAAGCAGCATTAAAGACAAGACTTTTGGTGAACATCAGAAAAGACACGGGTGATGAGGATATCTAACCAATAATAATCAGCACCAATCACCATTAGCGGAAGAAATTTGAAGGAGGTCACCTCTCTCATTTACCTGGATAGTATAGTTTCAGCCACAGGCGGCAGAGATTAGGACTTCAAAGGGAGGATCAAAAAGTAAGACACATCATCATTGCTCTGAAATCAACCTGGAAATCTGCTACACTGAACACAAAGGACAGTATCCAAGTTTAATTTAGGACTAATATTAAATCAATGCTTCTATATATATATATATATATATATATATATATATACATATATATATATATATATATATATATATATATATATAGGATTTTGAAATCGCTCTTTGGGACGTTGTCCATTATTGTTTGTAGTTGACTGTAGAAATCCTCCTTCTTCTGTTTTTCTGCTACGCGCCTACAAACGTCTCAGAAAAAGAGAAGAAGGAAGCCTTCTACAGACAACTTCAATCAGTAATGGACAACATCCCAAAGAGCGATATCAAAATCCTGATGGGTGACATGAATGCGAAACTGGGAGGAGACAATACAGGAAGAGAACTGACCATGGGTCGTGAGGCACTCGGTGAAATGAACGAAAATGGTGAACTCTTCTCAGACTTCTGCGCCTTCAATGATTTGGTGATTGGTGGCAGTGTGTTCAAACACAGGGATATACACAAGGCAACATGGATTTCACCAGATGGACACACCAAAAACCAGATAGACTTCATTTCAATCTCAAGGAAGTGGAGACGGAGCCTACTGGACACAAGATCGAGGAGAGGAGCAGATGTGGGTTCAGACCACTATCTAGTACAAGGGACACTCAAGGTGAAGCTAAGAACTTTGGAGACAGCTGGGGATAGGCCATAATGCAAGTTCAACACGCAAAAACTGAAGGACACAATCACACAGGACATTTTCACTGCAACTGTCAGAGCAAAGCAGGAAACACTACGTGGCATCACTGAGGAATCATCTGTGGAAGACCATTGGAACTCTCTGAAGGTAATTTTCAACGAAACGTGTTCAACGGTTTTAGGAAGAAAGAAGAAACAAGACAAAGAATGGCTCTCAACGGACACTTGGAAGCTAATAGAGGAGAGGAGAATGGTGAAAGAGAAGATGATTCAATGCAAAGATGGACAAGAGAAAGAGACGCTGAGTTCAACTTACACAGCTCTGGACAAAGAAGTGAAGAAGAGTGCCAGGAAGGACAAAAGACAATTCCACGACAACCTGGCTACTGAAGCTGAGAAGGCAGCAGGCAAAAGGGACCTGAGGACACTATATCAGATTGGAATACCCCCTGAAGCACTGAAAGCGGACCCAGAAACGACAGCAGATATGCTGACTCCATTATTGCAAAAGATCTGGAAGGAGGGAAAGGTGCCTACTGACTGGAGGAAAGGTTACCTAGTGAAACTATCAAAGAAGGGCGACCTAGGACTCTGCAAGAACTGGCGAGGAATCATACTCCTGTCGACACCAAGTAAAATCCTGAGTCGCATCATCCTGGAGAGAATAAAGGACGCACTGGATACAGAACTCCGACCAGAACAAGCTGGATTCAGGAAACGCAAATCATGTTCTGACCAAATTGCAATTCTACGCATCATCATCGTACAAAGCATGGAATGGCAATCAAACCTCTACCTCAACTTTATAGACTTTGAGAAGGCCTTCGACAGCGTTGACCACGAAGTAATTTGGGAACTACTGGAGTACTACGGCGTAACCCAAATATTCATCAACCTTATTCAACAGCTGTACGACAACGGCACATGTCAAGTGATCCACAACGGAAAACTCAGCGAAGCGTTTGAAGTAAACACAGGAGTCAGACAAGGGTGCTTATTATCACCAATGATATTCCTAATTGTGGTGGACTGGATTATGCGTCAGACAGTGGGAAACGAGAAGACAGGGATATCCTGGACCGATGTGAAGAACCTAGACGACATGGATTTCGCGCGTGGATGATTTTTGTTTGATGTCACACAAAATCGAAGACTTACAAGCGAAAACCGACAAACTGGTCGAAGAAGCAGCAAAGACAGGACTCCAGGTGAACATAGACAAGACGGAGGTTATGAAAATAACCAACCAACCAACAACAACAGCAGCAGCAACAACATCCAGCGCCAATCACCATCGACGGTAGGAATTTGATAGAGGTTACTTCATTCACTCATCTAGGGAGCATTGTCTCAACTACAGGAGGAACGGACGAAGATGTCAAATCGAGAATCGGGAAGGCGAGAAACACATTCATCAACCTGAAACCAATCTGGAAGTCTTCGTCACTCAGCGTCAACAACAAAATTCGGATTTTCAATACAAACGTCAAGTCAGTTCTTCTATACGGATCAGAAACTTGGCGGGCCACAAAGAATATTTCCAACAGGTTTCAGATCTTTATCAACAACTGTCTTCGTTCTATACTGAAGATTAGATGGCCGGAAAGAATCACAAACAAGAAGCTATGGGAACAAACAAAACAGGAACCAATCGCTCAACAAATATGCAAGAGAAAGTGGAGATGGATTGGACACTCGCTGAGGAGGCCGCTGGGTGACATCGCGCGTCAGACCAGTGCTCGAGTGGAACCGGAAAGAGAAGCGGCGAGTGGGACGTCCAAGTGTAACATGGAGGAGATTGTGTGAAGAGGAACTGAAACAGTATGGATTAACATGGATGCAAGTGAAAAGTACAGCACAAGACAGAAGCAAGTGGAGACGTGCAGTTGAAGCCCTATGTTCCACTAGGAACCCAAGGGAACAATAATAATATATGGCTGAGAGACTCAATTTATCACAAAAAGCATTTCCAGCAGGCTACAGATTTTTGTCAACAGCTGCCTTGGTTGGATGGTGAAGATCAGATGGTCGACTAGAAATAATAAACAGCAAGAGACTCTGGCAGTGAACCAACCCAGAACATATCGCGCAACAAGTGCACACAAGAAAACAGAGATAAGTTGGGCATAAGCTGAGAAAACCGTTAAGTGATTTCACACGTCATGCAGGCCCTCGACTGGAACCTGAACGGAAAACGACGTGGTGAGTGTCTGAGGATGATATACAGGACATTGTGTGAGGAGCTAGCTGAAGAGGACTTCAGAGAACAGAACGAAGTGGAGATATGCTGCCGAAACGGTATGTTTCAATCAGAATCCAAGGGATTAATAATGATAATAATCCACTGTCACACTTTCTTGAATTATAATACCTAGAATCTAATTTCAGATAAGGCGTTGAGAGATAAGTATTGACAGCTTTTATCACTCCTAATCAAAAGACTGTTGTTTCAAGTAGCATCGAGGCTTATTTAGACCCTCAAACCAATTTCTGAAAAATGATATGCTTGTGAGATTTACTCAAGCCGAATGTCTTAGTATGAAGCTCTGAGTCTAATTTGCATCCTACGCTATCACAGATAGATTAAATATCAATTAAAAGGTGGCTTCTATTCCTTTGAAGCAAAGGAATTACGACTGACAAGATAAGATTGTACTGAGAACGCAATATGGCTAACAAAAGACCGTAACGTATCATCCATACATTCAAAACATAGTTGGGAACTATCAATATTAACTTCAGTGAGATTCTGACACTGTTCGACGTATCATCTCTTAGACTAGCTGCAACTGCTGACTGACTGAGTTTCAACATAGAATTCTATAAAGAAGAGCAGTAGTTTATGTTGGCACACATCAGATAGCACAAAACAGAGAGAAAAGAAGTTCAAGAAAGCAATAGTGAGTAGGAATATATGGAAGAAAGCATAGTAATTTCAAAAACAACACGAGAGTTTAATGCATTAAGGAGATTACGAAGAGTGAATGCATCTGCGATATCAATATCAATTTCCAGCTACTGAATTTCAGCGGAAACAGAACAGAAATCATCTAGTATGCATATAAATAAGTATCCTAAACCAACTTTCAAAGACTTCATGGATTGATGCCAGGTTTTGGTTTCACCTCGCTTCACTCTTTTCCAACCTAATTCTATGTTAGCTAACCTTGCTTGAGGAGGGACGGGGTGACTCATCCTCCGTAGCATATACTTAGCCATTTTCATCGATGCAGTTCCACAACTTCGTCGCTTGACTTCCTCTCCTTAACCAACCCTACTAAAACCTCATAAACCTTCTTATATCCAACGCTTCACCTCAGTATTACTCAGAATATTATGCCACTTAAGACAGGAGATAGAACTTAGACATCTATTGTCGAGGACACTTAGCCAGCCTCTTCTCTTCATAACTTAATGCCCACTTCCATTACCATGTCTCACAGCCACAAAGAAGGAGAGAACGAAATGCTGGTAAGTACACACGTCCTTTCTTCGATAACCAGATGTCATATCTGAGTGAGAGATGATGTAAGTTAAACTTTTGTATCCGTGCCGAGAATTAGTAAGCAATCAGTCAGCTGAGACAGAGACAACTTTCAAATAAAAAAGTGATTAACACTTCAGTTCCTATCCTTAAACAAGGGGTCAGTACAGACCAGTCTTGCAGAATCGTCTTACACCCAATAATGAAAATTGCATTCCAAACATTTAAAGATTTCAGCTAAAGGAATGAAGAATACTCTTCACTTTCTCAGCGTCTTCACCAAGGATGATGATATAATCCGCATACTCTAAATCGCCGAGACTGTTCCATGGTGACGTGTCAATCTCTAGGTCTCTTGAGTCAGTTTGTAAAGAGAACAAACGAAAATGGGGACAGTCGACATCTGTGATGCACACTACTGGTTTCCATCACTTCAGGCGACAGCTTTCCATGAAATCTTACACGGCCATTTGAGTTCGAATATAGTGCTTTGATTTGTGCGATATACTTTCTCACCACTTTATTTACGGCTAAACATTGACACAGGATCTCTCACTGGAAGAAGTCAAATGCCACTGTCGCGTCAAGAAATACGATGAGTGTTGGATAGTGAGGAGCATGTGTATGTTCCAGGAGGGTGTAGACGCGATTAACACGTCTTCTTCCTGGACTGACAGCAGCCTGGGTTCCACCGGTTTGTTTCTCCCGATAACTACTTATTCTGCGCGTGATTTTTGAACCAAGCATTTGAGATGCTATTTCAATTAGGCTAGTGCCTTTGTGATTTTTACCACTACTTCTGATCTCCAGACAATATCTTATACCGTAGTTAATCCAGAAAACAGTTTGTCACCACCACCATCTTTGAACACCTTAAAAGTGATTCCATCACGTCATGCTGCTGACCATGTTTCAGATTAGAGACACAGCTTTTGACCTCAGATAGACATGGAGGGCCTATGTTGGTCCCCTATTAAGGTAGATACTGTATGCCCGGCAGGTTGAGAGTGGCTGTAAGACAGTCAAATTACTCCTCAACGATTTCCCTCCAACAGATTTCCTGAATAAATTCCAATGTTTTTCACTAATAACATGTGTTTTTTTTCTTAGTCTTTGTGCTGATTGAATCCTATCAGTTAAATTTGCAGTATGATTACTGAGTTGAATGAGTCTCCACAACGGTGCACTCTAAGCTGCTTTTAGATATTTGAAGGCAATCAACAGCAAGCCCTTGATCTAAAGTCAACATGAACAGTAAATTATTACACCATCTACATTCGTCCAGTAGAACCATGAAGAGGAACGTTGTTTGCAGAAGTTCAATAAAGAGACTCAATCTGTTTGTAATGGATGCCATTTGAGTATAGAGTCACCTAAAATTATCATGCCAACATTTTGACGGCAAACTCTCAGGTATATAACTTAGTGAACACTTTTTGACTTGCATCATAACGATGCATTGTCATCTTCTTTTCAGAGTGCAGAAAGAGGTTTTAACCTCAATCATAGTTGTATCACTGAATTAGCCCCCCTCCCCAACCGCCATTCATGCAGGTGTTGGATGCTGGGCAAGTTGTGCTTGGCCACAAGCCAGTTAAATCACTCCTCATTATGGCCTATTTGACGTTCCAGTATTCTTTCTGGAAAAGTGATTAAAGCACCGTTTTCCTGAGATTATCTCGCTTATAATTCATTTTTTAAAGCTTGTTTCCCTAATAAGCCTAAGTTGTTGTCTTGTGTCACCTATCGCCGATGTTTTTTACATCTTTTTGGCATAGGGGTAGTAAGTCATACACCACTGGTTCGAAACCTGCCGTAATCCAGATATTTAGAACGCCTTCAATCGTCAACCATTACATTTAAAAAATAGAAGTTTGAAAGTCAAATAAAAAGGTTAAATTGTGTATATGCCTGTGAAAAGATTAAAATATCGAACATAATACATGAAACTGAGAAGCAGCAGTAGTCCTTTATGATTGTGAGACCTGGCCATTGAAAGTGGAAGACATGAAGAGACTAGCTGTCTTTGATCATATGTGCCTGTGTTTTATCTTCCGTGTGAAGTGGTATAATAGGGTGAGCAATATTGGGGTTAGACCTCGGTCAAGCTCTAGGTAAGGAGGGCAAATCAATCGACGAGGTTGTGAAGTTACATCGACTGAGATGGTTAGGACATGTTTTACGCATGCCTAGCAATTCCTCGACTGACGGGCAATGTTACCTGACATAAGGTCAGGGTGGAAAAGAGCCACTGGTGGTCAAACCAAAACATGGCTTTCATTCAGTGAAATCCACAACAGTTAGTTTAAGCCAGCCACATCGGAAGATGTAGACTTTCTGCCGGTTGGGGTCCTCGGGACGGTAAACATCAACGAAAGCTGGAGACAATCGGTGATACGGCTCAAAACTGTTCTCAATGGCTGGCGCAGATGCATTCACTCCTTGTGACTTATGATTTCCAATGAAACTATGTTGTTCTTCGTTATTACTATTCCTTTTGTCTCATATCCCTGTGTACTGTCTTTATTATGCATTTCTTCTCTTGCTTTGTGTGCTACATGGATTGTGGCGACTAGACTGCTGCATATCGGTACAAAGTTCTATGTTGAAAACAGACAGTGATGTGACCATATGGCTAATCTAAACGACAGATATTGACCATCACTTATTATTATATAGCTACATTGGTGGCCAATCGAATAGCTGCTTTTTTGTTTTGTTTTTAAAAACGTACTGCTGTGACTCAACCATCTTGATCATTGTGCATATCCCTTTTGTTATTCATTCCTTCCGTTCCTATTAGAAAATGTGGCTTCAACAGGGCATCTCTGCTGTGAGTGATTCTATGACTGATCACAGGCTTTTAATGCATCCATACATGATTTATTCTGTGACCGCCTAACTCACTGCTTCACATACAGGTTCCACTCGGCGTCATAGTGTATAATGTCCTCGGTGTATATTTAATTCACCTCGATTTGTTGGTTTGACAAAAGTTGTAGGCCGATTTGCTGCTATCGGGAGGTTCTTTGTTCAGTTAATAACTATATATATGCATATAAATAACATGCGTCGGTGGCACAGTGGTTAGGACTCTCGCCGACCATGCTATGGTCCGGGGTTCGACTCCATGCCGACGCACACCTGATATCAATGGTCGGCCTGCAAAATTTGGGCTACCGATATCACATGCTGAAAGCTCCACGCTTGAATTGAAATTACTGTGTGGTATCAAGCTGTAATCAAAATATCAAAACAAATTTTCGTTTGTCAGAAAACTGTCAATAAAGCGTATCTGCAAACTCCAAAGAAACTGAAATCCACCTGTCGGTTATAATCCTCATCACTCTATGCTACTGCTGATTGCTTGTAACTACCTAAATACAGCTTGAAGTGCAGAGCCATAGCTAGTCACCTAATTTTGTGACCACGTTACAAACTTGATTGAAATTATTGAGTCAGCACTAACACTGAGGACTGCATAAGTAATATTGGTTACTATCCTTTGACCAGTTAGTGAATATATATATATATATATATATATATATACGCTGAAGAAAAAAAATGCTATCACACCCTGGGCAGGTTATAAAGTCTAGCCTGAATGGTAAGTGACGAGCTAGGCATGGGTCTGAGGGTGACATGAAGATGTTCCAGGTGGAACATAAGGGACGAATAAAAATAATTATAAAATAACTTTAAAACTCTTTTAGTGATTAGTAACTTTATATTTTCTCTGCTTTTTACAGAGAAACAATGTGACTAATCAAAGTGCTTTAGTTCAACCATTATTCACTGATTATTGTAGTGGATCACCAGGTTATCTAAAGAATTATCCAATTCGAGCGGGTTATGCACAAACTGATACTTCAAAATCTCAAATAATTATGTCAACCTATCCGTCGAATCCTTCAATTTATCCTAACCTGAATAATGAAATTAATTTTGGTTGGTGGCCAATACCAAACTCTGGTGATTGCGAACAACAGCCGAAGTTGACTGGTCGAATAAAAACAATATTATTCGGACAGGATACCTACAGTTCATGTGTACTTAGGTAATTAGGATATGTTTTCAAGTTAATTCCGGACTTTATAAACAGAGAGTATTACTGCATTTAGATATAGGTTGGTCTGATCTCAGGTGTTTTGGAAAATATTATTATTAATCTACAGCCTCCATCAACATTCAAATCTGGGCACTGACTACCTTCACTGTCTAGATGAATTCTATTTGATATGATGAAGTATTACGATACTTAGTTAGACAACCACTCATCTCGGCTTAATAGCACCGATTCCAGAACATACAGCGTTTTCGCTGATTCAGTTTCCCTTCTGATTTGGCTTACTACCAGTTTTCCATTCAAAGTCGCTAAATACCTTTTGGTTGGAGGATATTCGAATACGCTTGGTGTAGTATTATTCTACCTTATCCTAATTCATACAATACCATCCTCCAAAGAGCTAAACTAGTTTGTTTATCTTGAAGAAGGCTTGAAAAAGAAACAAGATAACGTGAAGTATGCTTAAGACAAGTACAAGTACCTTGTACTTCTATTTCTGATTATATTGCTTTACGTAACGACTTTCGACTTTTCTAAGAAGGTTGAAATAGATAATGAATTTCACAATATGTGTTGTTTTCAGGGATTTCGATCAGCTTTAGAGTATATTTCATCACGAAATGACATACGGTGGGGAATTTTTGAAAACCAGGGAGTACTGGATAGAAATTTTGTCTCTGTTTGGGACTAATTAGCGGTGCACATTCGTGACCCCATGACAGATTGAACCCAGAACCCCCAGGCTACAGTGTTAGCTCAGTGACCATGCAACCATTGTGTCGGAATTCAACGACTTTTGAATTTTAACTTTATCAACTCATTGTATAGCGGTACCGCCAAACAATGCAATCGGTAAACATACATTTCGCTTTTAGATGGTCTACTTCATTAGAGCTTTATTCCTTGCGTTTCAAGTGGAACATAAGGCTTCAGCTGCACGTCTCTATTTCACTGGGTTCTCTAACATCACTCTGTGACTGCTTTCATTCCTTCTTCACATGATCTCCATATCTCCGTAGGTCACACACCCAACTTGTCCCCTCCATTCAAGTTCCACTCGACGACAAGCCTGCGGTGTGATATCATTTGAATGTCTCCCCAGCATATGCTCGGTTCATCTCAATTTCCTTCTGTACACTTTTAGGTTGGGTAACAGACTCCTCTTTAGTTAACTGCCACAATGGTTCCATGTTACATATCCCTTCTGACTGCTCCTCTGACCTTCAGTGTAGACCGAAGACAGCTGTTGACGGCCGTCAAATTGAAGTATGCGCTGAAGGTGTCACCTAGTAGGGTGATGAAAGCTTCGCAAATTAACTATCCAGCTCAGAGAACACAACCACATCAAAAGGGTACTGAATACCCGTCTTACTATTTCGGTTCGATTATAACTGGCTTCGACACCATCCTTACAGCTTGTAGTTAGTACGATGCTGCCGGGGTGAGTCGAAGTAAGATTACTTCCACTGGATTTCTCCCATTAATAGTGCTTATTGACTTTTTATCGTTTATCTTCATCAGCTCTGTTTTCTCTCCGCTTTCTGGAAGTGATATCTTTGTTGCCTCTACTGTCAAATTGTTGGTTTTCGTTTATACTGCCTTCGAGTTTGTGTGACGTAAGACATAAATCATTTGTGCAATCCAAATCTTCTATTCAACTCAAAATCTAATGCTAAGTAAATTCCACTGAGATGTTGAATAAATTTTACTAGTTAGACACCGCCTCTCCTTCTGAAAATCTTTACTATTCTTCATCTAGTCATTTATCCTCCTGTAATTTCAATCAGCCCATTTTCCCTACCACTTATGTGTGCTACATTTTCCAGAGTATAGCGGCTTGAAGTGATGTACCATTTCAGTACAGAATTATACACTGAAAATTGAGGTCACTGCATTTCTGTTTTTTACACATCGATTTGAGAATATTAGTATAGGCATCGTAACACTGTTTTATTTCCTTGCACTCCGAGTGTAACATGGAACTTCAGGCTTTAAAGTTTCAGTAGCAGAGGTGTTGTTTCTATAGGATAACTTTTCGTCCAATCTTACATCTTTTCTGGATTTGCTGTCAGTCAGTGGACTAAGTAGGGTTTGAGAGTGTGTCAGTCTAGATTCAAACCCGGACATCTCGCGTAGCTGAGAAACATTCTATTATTCAATCACCGACACAAATTTTAGCACTTAATAAACTATAATTGAACAGTTACCACCAACCTTAACTTAATTTTCTAATTTGTCTGTTTTTTTGTCAGATTAAAATCATTTATTAGAAATCCTATAAACTGTACAACTCTTGAAACACAGATCAAATCAATATTAAATTATGGTCAAACACCGATTACTCATGTCGGAGTTTGGGGTAATTCTGACATTAACCAATTAGCTGATTGGATAAAAATCACTGTGGTAAATGCAGAAGCCAACAATATCAATTTAATTAACGGAACAAAATCATGGTATGTCAAGTAATTAAACAAACTAACCGCTTTCGATCGATTTAGAAAAATTCCAATCACCTCCCTCTGCCCGCCCCCTAGACTAGCTCTTGTAACCTCCTGAATCCAACTTTGCCTACTAGTTGTTTTGATCATGATTTACGTAGGTGGAGTGTGACTTCAATTCTTAACTGAATAGCTGATTTTCAAGTGTTTCAACCAATGAGCCACTCAAGTCTGGGTATTATCATCAGTCCGTACCCTCAAAACAAGTGTGACTGATAGGCTGAAACATAAAAGGCCTGTTCCACGAACTGAGTTCAAAAATTATGGCCGCTGATATTCAATAAACTCTGTCCAACTGGGTTTCACAATGGTGATAAGCACATTCAAATCTCTACAAGGGACTATTACCTTTAATTTCTTATGTTAATTAAAAGTTTAAACCATTCTCAAATTGTCAGACTGATAATTACGGTTGCATTAATGTAGGAGAAGAATTTGGTCACTATGGTAGAATATAATTCCATATTTTATGAGTTCATTTGACGTTACATACTGTTATTGTGTAGTGCTAATAACTGGCTGACGCGTCAATGACAGTTTATAGCTCGTAATCATATCACCAAACAAGAGCTAATTGCTCAGTAAATATGTAGGAGGAAATGCAGATGGATCGAGCATACTTTTAAGGAGGCCGACGAATGACATCGCGCGCAATGTAGGTCATCACTCGAGTGGAAAATCAATAGAAAGCGACGAGTGAGTCGTCGGTGTGAGGGTGACATGGAAGAGATAGTATGGGGGAAGAGGAGATGAGAGATTATGAGCAATCGTAGACCCAGCTAAAGAGAACGGCAGGGAATAGAACAAAGTGGAGATGTGTTGTCGAAGCCCTATGTCCCACTTGGGACCTCAGGGAATAATAATATCGGTTTATTCACACGACATTACGTAAACTCCTGTTTTTCAGTTAGGGAAGTTATCAGAACATAGAAACAGCTAGATCTAAAATGGTGGACCCCACCAAATTATATACTCTAGACAAACATTCAGTCATTGCAGTGTATTCATTTAAACATAATCACCTGATAGGGTGGGATGGTTTGAAGAATGACTGTATACCTACTAAGAAGGCTAAATGTTTACAAGTGGATCTCACTATCAGGTAAACTGCCTACTGTTTGAAAGCATTTTTTTCAAATGCTAATTAACTTCAACTGATTACTATAGAGTAACCAATGTGATGGATCTATTCCGTAATATTAGTGCTAACTGGGACGTATCAATTGATTTTGCAATGTGATCACTAAAATCGGTGGCAGCTTATCGCTTTGAGTTGTAGTAATGTATTTGAAGGCAATCCACAGGAAACCTTAGATCCAAGTTGCGTACTTGTTGGCATTCATCTGTAACCTTGGAGGAACTGACCGTCCTCCCCCCCCCCGGAAGAGATATGAAACCTCGGACCACCCAGTGCTGCAGTAAAAGGCGTTACCAGCTAATTATTCAGATCCAACTAATTTTTATTAATTACGTTTTGTTAAAACCATTTTCTCACTGAACACTAATAATTTACACTACCTGACTTAATTTTTATTCAGGGCATGTCAAAATGTTGTAACGGGTCAGACGATACATATTTTTTATGCCAGAAAAGGTGCATTATATAGTTTACAGAACAGTATTGTTTCAGTACAAAGAATATACAAACGAGGAACTATCTCGTACATAGTAAGTCAACTGGCCTACTTACTTTTCAGAATAATGATAATGACGATAATAGTCATTATTATTTGAAAAGGTTGCTTGTAATTCAAGTCCCAATTGCAAGTGCTAATTTGTAAGGATTTGACTGATTCCAAATCAGCTTTCATTGCAAACTAATATGTGTATCGAAATCACTGAAAACCAATGAAGCACCGGACAGACGAATCAGAAACCTCAGAATATCAATCTCTTGCGCATTATTGACTACAAGATAGATATCTTGTAATTCAAATGATAAGTTGTAATCAGTGGGAATTATCATGTCCTGTGTGAAACGAATACTTGTTGGAGGCACAGTGGCTTTGCCAGTAGTAGGGTCGTTAATGTACACTTTTAAAGAGTACTGGACTACGATGAAGTGGTTGTCCTTCATTGCTTGGTTTTTAATACTTCTCGAAGTGAGCTCGGTCAGTCGCGAAATCTACACTGAAACTGTTTTCATCTCAATGTGAAATAAGCACTAATTGAGTAGTGTTTGGCGGTTATCAGTGTTTTGCAAAACAAACTCTTCAATGATTGCAATACTAAACAAAAACTCGAAATTCACAGTGAATTAAAGATTGAAGAAAATGAAGTTGAGAAATAAGTAGACACATTAGTTTTCTAGAAGAAAAGGAATGGAAGTGTTGCGTACACTATGGGTAACGAATTGTAAGAAGTGTATTGATAATGCCTTCTGCAAGAATCTTGATTAGCCAGGTTGTGGACTAAATTGTAAACAAGAGAGAGAGAAAGATTTCAACCAAAATTTTACAACTGGGTGCGTTATCAGCTATTAAGACTGCTATGAGTAGAGTGATACTACAATACAGTAGGAAAATCGAGTGGATGCCAAATATGGTTGTACCTTCTCAAACGTCTGCTTCAGTGAACCGAGGAAATCTCAGAAGACATGACTGGCCTGCGGTAAGAATAACCACTTTACCAGGTAAAAATACATTATATATATATATATATATATATATATAATCAAGCCAGTTATTAAATAGCTGTTGTATAAGGTGCGAGATTTGGTATAAAGCCAGTGATCGGCCAATCAGATTATCTCTAAATATTTTGCCTTAGCAGCCAATGACCTTAATTGTTGATTCTCGTTTAATCTGGCTTTAGCCACTTCCTATTAGTAATAAAAAACTTGAAATTATAAGTAGAGAGGAAGAACACGATTGCGCTTTTGTAAATTGAAGCCTCAGAGTGTCAGATTTTCGCATTTCACCATCTCTATATTCCATTTTTCCAAATAAAAGATTCAGTCACCAAACTCTATTGTGTACTGCCGTTATATTTCGCAAATGATATTCGTATTCTGCTTCTTTTATTCTCATTTCATTCAAGCTTTCTGTATTGTTACACAATCATCTTCATTTTTTCTCTTTGGAAATTAATCTATCGCTCGGCTATCCAAAATTTCTTGAGAATTCACCCAATATATATAGCACTTGCCAATTCGTGCCAGTAGTAAACGCCATGGGATGTAAAAATCGGTAAACCGCTTTCAACTCTCTGCATCGATTTTAGTTGATGAAGAAGAGTTAAAATATAAGGTCGACCGATTGACTGATTGAAATACATTTTTCTGAGCGCTAAATGTCAAAGCCTTAAAAATGTAGTACTAATTATTTGGAATCAGTAAATTTGAAAATAAATTACACTCAACTGATTTCAATGAACTAAAAGTAGTGTAACGTGAACATTTCAACCTCACCACAGTAAAAGAATGCTGTTTTGAACTCCACCATACACCTGAGTATGGTTTTCATGTGCTAATTCCCGATATACACCCCCACGCACCTCTCTATATCAGTCACTTAATGCGTTCATGTATGAACACACAAAAGTCTAATAAAACGTTTTTTTCAACTGGATTTATGAATTATAGACACAGATAAGCACTATTCTTGCGCCAGAAAGATCTCGAATTCAAAGTTCCGATTCGCCAACTACAAACTAAGCAAGTGAGCAGTCCTAATATTTCAGATATATACTATGTTGCTTAATTACATAGAGAACACATATTAGATTATTCAAGCCAGCCTTATTTTCCTATTCAGTGTACAATATTTACCTAACAGTTCTTTAATAACTTTTATACTTAATAATTGTTCTCACAATGTCTACTTTATTTCTTTTTCTTGCAGTGTCAAGGTTATTCGTGTGTAGATGTGAATGCGAATCCGGAACAACAATTTTTCCTTACTACAAATATTAGATTTCATGATATGACTTCAAAATGAAAGTCTCGTCATTAAACAAATCATATGTTTGTAATATTAATAATAATAATAATATTGTCCTTTGCAAAAACAATCTTTTCAGTGGCAAATATCATTATACCAACGTCAGAACCCAAGTTATTTTTATGGTTCTTAATTTATTGATTTTACAGCTTGCTGGGAGAAGGCACTAATTGTTAATATATCCACAATTAAACACGAACATACATACATGTATGACTTCACAGTTATCTGTGAAAAAAATAGACAGTTACCGGAAAAATTCTTAACCGGATGAACACAGTACAAAATAGCGTATCGTTAATATATGTCGAAGAAAGTACCGACTACTTACGATTTATAAATGTACCCATAACTCATCTACAGGATGGGTCAATAAAACAATCCAACTATGGGAAATCCACCTGCAGGGAACAGCATCTTACCATAGTTCCTGTCAACTGCAATATAAAAAGACGTTATTTAAATACTTGTTCAGATGAATTCAACATGAACATACAGAGGATACCATTGATATAAGTATAAAACTTGGGCACTGTGGTAGAGTATAACTCCATAATGGTTAAGATTTTATTTTGATAAATCACACAGTGTTGTACAGTTATATTAACTGATGACGTTTCGAGCACAAACTATTGCTCATAATCATATCAACTTGATATGATTATGAGCAATAGTTTGTGCTCGAAACGTCATCAGTTAATATAACTGTACAACACTGTGTGATTTATCAAAATAAAATCTTAACCATTATGGAGAGGATACCATTGAAGATGAAATACAAAAACTATACCGAAATACTATGAGAAAATAATATCGATTATCAGGTCATTCATGGCTGCTGAATAGATGTCCTGAAGCTTTAATGAAAAGTCGTGACCAGTGGAGTCCACCAAGTCAGGGTGTGGTGGATGCTCAATGAAGGCATTGGTGAGGGTACCGTTATTTTACGAATTGATTAAATTAGAATTCATGGGTCAATAACATCCATCCGATGCGGCTCCAATAGTCAATGAGCTTGGTTTCTTAGCCTGAAGGTTCCAGGTTAGATATCTGGTGGCGTCGTGGGAGCGAACTGATGAAGAGTCCCAAAACAGGAACAGACAGCTCTCCACTGCTCCCTGGTTTTCACTGATTTCTCTGACTGATGTTGGTTCGTGACGAAAATCTAACAGTCGCAAATAACAGTCACGCCCTGAAAGTTATTAAACGATACAGAAGCATCAAACAAAAGGCCTCCACCTTTCGGATCAGCTTCCGAAAACAATGTTTACATATCTTTACAGTTCAAGGGTGGTCACAAAAGCCTGATCACAACAAAAAAGGTCTCAGAGTGACATTCGACAGAAATTAAGATGCAGCTAAGCTCATTTTCGTAGGGAAAACGAGACTTATGTTGTCTCTTAAACCCTGACAAAATCAAAACGATAATGCCACGTCCCATTGTGTTCACCAGTTAACATTTATTTGTGGTCAGACGTACATAGGATGGACACCGACTTCTTCAGACAAGGGCTATAGAACACTTGCCTGAGTAGCTTCAAGAACAGGTGAAATCACCTGATACAATTAATCCCGGAAATAGATGTGTACAATGATATTTATCGCAATGCATATAATAGTTGTCTTTAATGGTATATGTAAAAGGTTTGATTTATATACTTAAATCCGTTGGAACTGTAGATGTAAATAAATTCAAAGCAATTAGTTCCCTTTATGAATTTCGACAACACAATAGGAAGATGTAGTTTATCTGAAACGTGTAATGTATTTGCGCAACACATTTCGGACATTGTGATCACACACGAGTACTTATCATACTTAGTTTTATAGAGGGTAAGAACGCATGAACCGTTACAATAAAGGTCTGATTGTGTACAGCTAAAGGTCAGAAATAATGAATAGAGAGATGACGCAGTGTGGGTAAGAAAGAAAACACAAAGCAAGTAAGGGGTCGAAGATATTATGAAATAAATTGATTCTTGCTTCTGAATTGGGATTACCATGGCAGGTTTAAAGTAATAACATAACTTTTGGACACATAAGGTAAGTTTAAGTCTATTTCTGGCCAAGGATTCAACGAATTTAAGTGTTTCATTCAACCTTGTTTTATATATGGGCTTAAAGGCATTGGCGAAATCAACCTTATAACCCGTCCCTATAGAACCCACTATGTAGGTAAACTTATCTTCACAGACAAAACGAGATCTTTGCTGTGCTGTAAAACCTCACAGCATCCGAACGATAGAATCACATCCCATTGTGTTTATCAATTTACATGTATATGTGAACACACGTAGACAGGGAGGACTTATCGGTCTCTGCAGGTTAGGGCTACAGAACATATCCCAAAGTAGCTGCAACAATGAATAAAATCACCAAAGTTCAGCTGTTCCTTTATTGTTTATATATTCATGGTTGGATGGGTATTTTCCATGAATTAAAAATAAAATCGCCGGATACAACTGACTCCAGAAATAGAAATCTTATATCATCCATAGCGAAGCACATAGTAACTACACCAGAACCTTTATCTGGTCTGAGGATAATGATATCAGTATTATGTTCTAGTTCTTTCACAGCTTTAAAGTGCTCAGATGTTGAGATACTTTTCAGAATTGTGCGACCATTGCAGAATTGGTGAGCAATGTCAATTAACTTTGCTTTGAACAAACTATGAAGTACTTCAGAAATGGGAACAAAAGGTTTCAATTAGTTATGTACATATTCAAATTGTCCTGGTACTTCGAGTTCTCAAAAATACTTTTGAGGAACGCAAAATTTAAGTCCAAGTGATAAGGCTTGATTCTGTAATGACGAAAATGCTATAGAAGATAGGTTGATAATGCACTTCTCTGGATTTACAGGGAAAGGAGTTACAAGTTTGATATCATTAGGTGTTTTGTCTAGCTTGCACATTTTTGCTGTCCTTTCAACAGCGAAGGATGCGCAGAAAGCAGTTAATTTCAAGTGACATATTAAAGATAATTCAAACAAAACTTATAAAGCAGACATCTGAATAACCAGTAATTGCTGAAGCTTTCCTTTATCAATATGCGATCCCATACAGACACTGGGACCCTACCCGATATAATGGCCGATGAATTCCAACTTGTACCAACTCGTAATTTTGGCACAACCACCAACCAATGTCATCGGCGGGAAATCTATCCTCACTCCCAACTAGGTGGACCTAACTGGCCACGATTTCCCACTAGAACTCCAGGAAACTCCGTCCTGTAGCAATTCGCTAGCAAGCAAATTGAATTTTACTGGGAGAATTTTCAAAATCACTTGTCATCGGTGTGTATGTATAAGGTATTAATTGTTTCGTCGGGTTCGTCAAGCTAATTATAATTTAGGTAAAATGGTGGATAAGGCTAAATTTGATCTAGAAAAGTGTACCATAACTAGGCGAAGATTAACTGTTGATATTTTAGAGGGAAAAATCGAGAAAAATGAGGAAACATAAAGGCGATGAATTCAGCAGCATCAGAGGAACAAGGGAAATTATCGCTAATTGTAAACAGATTAAGACAGCTTTACATGGAGCCAGGTGAAGACTCTAGCAGAGAACAGAACGCAATGGAGACGCACTGCTGAAGCCCTATGTTCCTGTAGGAATTAAAGGATACAATAATAATAATAATAATAATACAGGCTGGTGTGAAAGTTTGTTAGCAAAAGTATACTATTACATATATTACATGATCAAGAATAGTTAGTTTCGTATCTGAGAAGACAAACTTCTGCCAACTGATGACATAATACATAATAATGCAATGCGATTAATCCCGGAAATAGATGTGTACAACGTTATTTGTCGCAAAGCATATCATAGTTGATTTCAATAGTTGTCTTTAAACATATATGTAAAATACTTGGTTTATACACTTGAATTCGTTGGAACTGTAGACGTAAATAAACTCCCCAGAATTACTAGTTTACAGCCATTCTTCACTCGACACTGGATGCTTACCTTCACTATTTAAGTCGCCTCATTAAGCTGAAGGCTTGTGGTGAAGCATCCACGTCATTTGGCACGCTGTCATGTTACGTACGGTAGTTCGTTCATCATCCCTAGCTAGCTGAGCAATCATAATCGCAGTACGATTCTAATCCCTAAATACTATCTCGTATTCTGAACTATCCACCTAGTCTTTTGATTAGTCTTTGGTGTAAGTAGAACAAGTACTATATGAGTTAAAGGATAAGAATTTGCGTTTGTTTATTTGTGTGAGATACAAGACGTGAATCATTCACAAGAATATATAAAATAGTACAAAATAGTACAAATCTATTTCTGATCCAAGATAGTGGGTGTTTTAAAAAGCATGAAACCAACTGATAGTTTGCTTCTAGTCTATCAGACAACTTTAACACAAGCTAAATTCTGGTTGATTTTTTATCGGACTGGTTTTCAATATAATTAGCAAGCTAGATTTTCCGCGTTAGATGTAACTTTTGTCTGAATGAGATTGAAATACGGTCAGGCATTTCATACCCTCCTAATCATGATAACTGAAAAATTCGGAAAGTGACCATCTGGGAAGGCAAGTTCAGTGTTCTGCAACGCAAAGAGAACAGATTCGCATAAATAATATGATGAATGTGCAATTCATTGGCTTGAGCACTTGACGACCTTCTAAAAGACAACAGAACGCTGTTTCAAGTCCCATTTCATTCTAGTTTAAGCAACACGCTCTTATATATATAATGGGATGCATAGCCTAGCACAACAAATCTGCAGTCACATACGTTATCGCTGGGTGACACAGATTCCAATCTCATTATGGACCTGAGTTCCTTCAATATTGAATATGTGGCTTGCTGACTGGTGACTGCCAACACACACGAAACCTAGGTCCAAGCCTTCCTAATGATCGCTTTCAACTGTCGAATAACAATCAATTCAGGGTGCGCCGCGGTGTCGAGCTACCTAGCATGGTGACCACACTGCAGACTTGACTGATAGAATCCATTATGCATCAAACGAAGGA